ATATATTTTTTTTCCAACTGACTCGACGCTGAGAGTCGGCTCTTGGACTACCCAGCGTTCACTTCCGTGTAAATGTTAGGAATCACTTCCTCCCGTGGCTCTCCGACTTGTCTTCACTCCATCTGATTTCAGTTCGATAGTTTGACAGCTGCTGCTCCTGTAGGGCCTGATCAGATGGAGTATACCGCCGCGCACACTGGGTTCAGACAGCGTAAGTTACGTACGTGATTTCGACTCGAATAAAGACGTAAACTAGCATGCTGCTTCCTTTCTACACCTAGCTCTGTGTCGTACCGGGTTGAAGCTAACAATAAGTTGAACTTATTATACGCAGACAACTCGTAAAGTGCCTATTCTTTTTCATTTTTTTATTATCTTTATGTTTTCTACGGCTTCACTAACAAACTGCCATCTTTGTCAACACTGCTAACCAGCTAATTCATCTTTAGACCGGTTAAACCAGCTAGCGTCACTATAGAGCTGTACACGTTGTTGTGGTGGTTATAAGTGAGAAATAAGATTATTTCTGACAGTGAGCAATGGCTGCAGATGTGCGCCAAATTACGTGCACGCAAAGGTCTCAAGCTAATTCTGCACAAACAACTCTAGTACGAAGGTCCTTGATTAAACCTTGCTATTCTGTTCAGCAGCACAAAGTTGTGAAGGTTGACAGACAGTACTACAACGCATGTAAACAAAGTGATTCACTGTGTGCACTCTGGTTGCACAACATCGGGGAAATTCTTTGTTTTAAGTGGTGAAAAACTGAGCGATGCTCGTCTCTGACTTAATTATTTTATTATTCACCGAATGGCTCTTCCACTGTTTGTGATCTTAGCTTGTAAAAAAACACATCGGTTATGGGAATTAAATGTGTTTAAAGTCCATTCAGCTGGCTAAATGTACAAAGGATATGTTGTCTCAATATTCAAGGTTATTTTTATTGAACAAATTCCATCATCCTTATTGATCTTAGTTCATCAGACAGTATTTTATTGCAAAGGATTCCCCCCCTCTAATTAATGTAAACCTGCTGTTGTCAGCCCTACTTTGCTGATCTTTTGCTGACTTCTAAGTGTAGAGCAATTTGTGTCTTGACTTACCAGAAGGATCTGACACAGTTCTGGGGTCCCACAGGGCTCCATGCTGGGTTCACTTCTCTTCAATATGTACAGTTGAGCCCAAATGGCCAGAATGTTATCAGCTAGTAGAGTTTATATAGCAATAGTCTGCAGGGATACGTTAAGAGATAGAATTACATGACATCAGCCATCAATAACTGGAGTTTAACATCTGTGCTTTAGAGCCTATAAGCAATTAGAGGAAGTGCATGCTGAGGTTATTTTAAACTTCTTGGCTGACTATTGCTTGAGTTGCTGATTCTGCTTAACTTCAACTTAAGCAATTAAATTTAAATGTTGATTGTTGTTTTTTTTCCCGCCACAGAGCATAATATGCGTTTGAGGAACAGCTCAATGGATGGGTCAGATGGCAGCCAGCTGTTTGACGACACAAGTGCAACAGGACCAGGGGCTCAAGGAGTCTACAGGTGGGCTCTGTCCTTGGATTGGCTTATATTTCACTGAATGTTGACCGGTTGTTGAATCTGCAACTAAAGTGATTGCATTTGATTTTGGTTTCTGGTTCTTATCATATTTCATTAATTCATTGACAGAAATCAGCAGGCTGGTCCTCAAGCAGCAGGAGGACTTCCTGGCCAGTCCCTCCTGTCGGACCCCATGTCCAACCTGGCCATGGCTTACGGCAGCTCTCTGGCATCCCACGGCAGGGAAATGGTAGACAAAAATGTAAGACTGGCTAAAGATGCAGCTGATCAGCAAGGCTCTAATAAAATTACTGCAAGGACATTAAATGAAGTGTGCACTTCTTTGCCCTTCTGTATTTCAGCTGGACAGATTTATTCCTATATCCAAGCTGAAATACTACTTTGCTGTTGACACGGTGTACGTCGGAAAGAAGCTTGGAATTTTAGTTTTTCCTTACATGCATGAGGTAAACTTGTGTTTTCTACTTGGACAAGTTTTTTAGGTAGTTATTGGATTGTAATTGATGTACTTTTGAAACATGTCAGCATTTAGTTAGAAATAAATGATTAAATTATAAGTTATTTTTATCAAATAAAGTTATTTTTGTTTGATAAAAATATCTTTTTTAATTAAAAAAACAATATGTATATTTTTAATACCAGGATAACTGTCCCTTAGCACAACTTACGCAAACCAGAAAATCTTTCTAGCTACTGTTACAAACGACTTAGAATAAGACATAAAACACATGAGCCAAATTTGAACAGACCTGATAATTGTGTAAAATTTGTTTTCTCCTGCAGAATTGGGAGGTGAGTTATCAGCAGGACATCCCTGTTGCCCCGCGCTTTGATGTCAACGCTCCTGACCTTTACATTCCTACTATGGGCTTCATCACATACGTCCTGGTGGCTGGTCTGGCTCTTGGCACACAGAACAGGTACAGAAGCCTTACTTGTGTCCAAGCTGCAGTTTGCAATTATTTCTTGCATCTGGTGGGGGGAAAAAAGTTTTTCATTAAGAGACTTGGACAATACAGCTGATCTCAATGACAACCTACAGCTAATTGATTTTTTGGGGGAAATAATAGTTTTTGTAGTAGCTAAAACCACAAATATGACTTATTGTAATGAGCTGATAAAGGCTGGCTGAAGTTATCGCTATGACTATGTGTCCTATGACTATGACTATGTTTCAGGTTTTCACCGGAGCTTCTGGGAGTTCAGGCCAGCTCAGCATTGGTGTGGTTGATCATGGAGGTTCTGGCGGTCCTGCTTTCACTCTACCTTGTCACTGTCAACACAGACCTCACCACTATAGACCTTTTAGCCTTTTCAGGATACAAATATGTCGGGTATGTGCTGGTGCATATTTCTGTCAACGTTTCTTCTGCCCTATCTTTAGTTAACCGCCAGACGGTCTGCTTTTCCAGAATGATTTTAGGTGTTGTCGCTGGTCTTCTGTTTGGAAAGCTAGCGTATTATCTCTCCCTGCTGTGGTGTTGTGCCGCCATCTTTGTCTTCATGGTGAGTCTGAAGCATTTTTAATTATTTTAATGTGTTAATTTTTTGCTCTTCCAGTGCTTGTACCTCCGCCTCATACTCCAGGACGTCCCAGACGCAGTTCATACATTATTCCTAGCATGTTTATAACAAATGAAAGTTGTCACAGACTGTTGTTACAATGATTTGATGCTTTTCTCATTTTCCCACTTAAAGATTTGTCCTGTTTGTCACAATTAAATGTTTCAGATTGTGAAACTAGTTTCTATATTAAACAAATGCATGAAAATAAAAAGCTATCTACATCAGCCTGATTTTATGTGAAAAAAGAAAAGCTCCGTGATAGTTGCTGTTGCACCTACCTTAAAGTGTAAATGTGTTATTTTTCTGTGGAGAAAAGTTCAACCACTTGTCTTTGAGAAATCGTTTTCATTCAGCCACATTGGAAAGTTCCTCAGCATGAACAGTCTTGTTTAAATCATTAAGTGTTTTACAATCCTAGCCATTATTCCTGCGAGGAGGAATAGTTTATGCTTCTGCAGATTACTGACAGATTCTGGCACAGTAAAGCAGGGACGACCACCACACTGCCTCCATTGTTTGACCCCTGCTGTGACATTCTATTTCTGAGATGCTTTTAGTTTTAAGCTACAAAATATTTAGATAAGATCTCGATTGCTGAACTTTGTGTAATCAGCAGTGGTTTTGGCCACTCAAGAACAATTACAGTTTTGAAATTATAGTACTTACCTATCAGTTCACTTGGGAGTAGAAACATTCCTCGCCTCGTTCTTCAACAAAGTTTTTGCACGTTTCCATGCAGATCCGCACTTTACGTCTGAAGCTCCTATCCGAGGCGGCGGCTGAAGGGAAGCTGGTGAGAGGAGCCAGGAACCAACTGAGGATGTACCTCACCATGTCCATCGCAGCAGCGCAGCCCGTCTTCATGTACTGGCTCACCTACCACCTCATCAGATAGAAGCTTCGACTCTCACTTTTGCAGGAGAAGAACTCTGCTGTCTGCATGACATCATCTCAGAAACAAACACAAACTCTCCTCAAACACAGAACCACGTCGCTAAACTCACAGGGCAAAACACTCGCTACCAAACAATAAAGAGGTGCAACATTTCTGTCCCCGCCTCTGAGCACAGCCACGTTGTTAGTTTTGCCCCTTTTTTTTTTTTTTTACATTTAATGTCTTCAGATTTTGTAGCAAGAACATGTGGCTTTAATTGCTCCGCATCTTTACAGCATAATTGCATGTGAACTATGTTTTTTTATGAATATTTATGTACGTCTGAATTAAGTTGTTGCGTTGCAGATTTTGCCCGTCTGGTCATTGTAGGCGTTTTATTAAAGACTCAACAAAGAAAGTACATTAGCCTCACGTCTACCCCTCCACTTGATGCTATGAACAAACTCTAATCCAGGTTACTACCGGATCAGCTAGCTTTGCCTAAATATTTTGTGCAATCTTTTCTGTCGCTAGTTTACTGAGAAATGTCAGACCCTGTGGAGAAAAGGTTTACAGGACAAATGTAGCTTCAAATGTTTAACCCTTAAGGTCGTGCTCGGTCACATGCGCGAGCTTTATAACCGCAGACGGCCAGGGCAGAGATCTGCTGGAAGGAACAATGTTAGATGCAAAAACACAAAGATAGACTGTAGAAGTTTACTGCTGAATAAATGTAATTTAATATCAGACATTTTTGGTTTATGTTTCCAACATTAAGTTTTATTTTCAGCTAAGGTGTTGATTCACATTGACAAAACTTCTAATGAGCTCCTTCAGTGCTACTGAAGCTGTTTTTAATGAGCACTTATTTAAATATGAAGCATTTTGCCTAGGAGGACGGATTCTTTTATCGCTGCGACTTGATGCTGACTGGGAGTCGAAGTTTACTGGAAGAAGGAAAGATGATAAAATTAAGAGACTGAACAATGAAAGTGATGTCAAATTTTTATTTTTAAACTGTTTGTAGCTGAATTTGCACAACAAAATGGCCAAAATGTGCTCAATTCTTGTAAAAACAACACACACAAAAAAAGAAATGAAAACTGTCCCAGACCTGTGAAACAAATCAGAATTTACAAACCACCATGTTGGACACAGATGTACATTTTTATCAGTTTAATATTTTTTGTCAAAATAAAGAACTGTAAGGCGTTGCTGACGTGGAATGTTTATTTACTCTTACAGTGCAGAAATAACAATCATTGCTCTTTTTTTAAGCAGAGCATTCAATAATCTACAAGAGAAATAATACAAAGAACAAATATGGATAAAATCTCAAATGTAACTATTACAGGTGTGCATATCTCAGATAATATCGCTGCAATGTGTTTAGAAGGTTAAAGAATATTCAGATGTTTCACATTATAAAAAAACAAATAAGCAATATGGTGTGTTTGGAGAAAGATTTCTATTTCTTCCAGAAGCCTCTGTTGTGATTAATGGCCTGAAGGAGCCTGGCCTCCATCGTCCTCTCAACCGGGTATCGCCTGTAGTTGGGCAGCAGCAGCAAGTTATCGCAGGTGAGGGATTCAGGCAAGTGGATCTCTGTGGCATGTAACAACATGGCCACTCTCATCCTGATGTTCTCCATTCCAAAGAAGGGGACTCTGTCACAGCCTGTGAGGAACACTGACCGCAAACAAAAACAAACTGGATGAAACAGAACCATGGGTAGATCTGAAACTGATCCAAAATGAAAACATACGGAGGAACTTTTTCTTCTCTTCTGCTGAGAGGTTTTCAAACACCTTCCAAAAGGTGATGATGGTTGGATGATCAGCATGATATTCTCCTTCATAAATTGTGTTCTGTGAATTTAAAAACAACACATAAATACATCATTTCGAATCGTTTTTACAACTCAACTTACATCACCGATCTTTAAAGTTTGATTTTATTTGCATTACCGTAGAACAAACGTCACAAAATGCACGCAAATGGAACTAAAACATTAAAATCAGGTGATGTGTGGCTACCTCCTTGAAGACCTCCCAGTCGTAGTTCTCCTGGCCAACCATGACTGCCTGTAGTTCCTCGGGCTGGAAGAACTCCACGACATCCATGTTGCACACTTTGAAAAACCCTTCCTTGAAGAGTTTAAACACTCCCTCCACTGATTTGTTAAAGGCATGGTCGACAAAGGCAGCGACAAATTCTTTCCTGTAGACATAAAGAATATTACAAACAGCACCGAAGGACTCGTTACACTGACTGGCAGATAACTAAAAGTCTTGAGGTTCTTGCAGAATTGTTCATCTTAACTGTAGTGCAGGAATCTCCACAGATGGTTGGAACAACTTTTCACATAAAAATGAGATGCAAACAGATGGAAATGCCAACTAAAACAAACCTGTTAGATCCAGTGACAGGTTTTCCGGGTTTGTTTTCATCAAGTTCAGCTTTCTCACCACCCCAGGAGACCTGGTTTGTCATTATGGATAAAAAGGTTTAGGAACCTGCACACATATTTTTTTTAAATGATGATATTTTGAAGAGGATAAACCCAGCTGCAATTCAGTTTATGTTTAGAAAACCTACAGTGAAAGTCGTCTCCAGGGCTTCGACTTCATCGGGGGTGTAATCCTCCAGCATGCACCTCCATGACCTTAACGCACAAACAACGGTGAGGAAAATTGTTTGTTTTCCATTATAAAACTTCACATTTTTCTGAACTTTTCATTCCAACAAAGTTTCATTTTCATTATCTGATGATTTCTGTAAATCATGAAGCGCCTCAATGCTGAGGCTGGCCTGAAGTTCAGGATCAAGCGCACTGTTTTATTTTAGCACCATTTGTACATGTTGATGTATTTTTTCCATATGCTTTAGTCCAAAAAATAGAAATTTAGTGATTTGTTTGCAATTTAAACCAATATGAGGTTCCAGCCTAAATCTCTAATCCAACAAAGTGTCTAAAAAGGTTTTTTTTATCAGTGGTTAAGACATTGTAAATGTAAAAGATTCAAGAAAAGCAATTACTTTATTATTCAGAATTTTCTATTTTAGATTTCTTAGCCAACAAAATATAGGAAACTTTTTACTCCTTTTTTAATATTCTCTTTTTAAAATATTTTTGTACTTATTCTGACTTAGAAAAGCAAATTTCAAACTTTGAACCTGCATTCACCACTGATAATGTCTAAATTGGACCATGCCAAATATAAAGAAGAAAGAACATTTTGTGATTTTCTCTTAAAAGAAAATGCTGAAGTGCCTTTTTATTTGTAGGAGCCTGCTTATAGATCTGTTCAACGCCGGATTTTAAAAAATGTTTCTTACTCTGCCATGACAGGATCAAACTCCTTCATGTCGTCCAGGGACGTTTTGACTCTGAGCAGCTTCTTGAAGAGCGCCAGCGGGAACGGCAGGTGAACGATGTTGTGGTTGTAAAGAGCCAGGCCACACAGAACGCCAAACAGGAAGTACTTCCTTTCCTCCACTTGAAGCTATCGGTTTTTGAAGGAAAAAAAAAAAAAAAAAAAAAACAAGAATATGGGAAAGTTGAAATCCAACACAATTCACATGTCTGTCTGCTTTGTGTAATGTTGCATTTATATCCTGGGCTATACACACAAGGTCAGTCCTCAAACCTACCTACTGATAAGTCTTGTATTTAAAGGTGATGCAGGTCTTACCTTGGGTGGGAACCAAGCCAGAGTCTGACTCTCGTTGTACATAAACATTTGAGATTCAGGAGCCATGAGCTCATCAAACACATGGAGGAAAAAGTCTTTCTTGTTGACGTTCATGATCTTCCTGTCATCTACAAACTGTACCTAGGGTAAGTGGAAAGATAAAGAAAAAAAAAAAAAAGCCCTGTAAATTTTAAAAAAGAAATAAACATCCAAACTGCTCTCCATTTGCAAAAACTTGTTCTCCAAAATAATGATTTTAATTTATCTAAGCTTAGGCTGAAAGTACAAAAATTGGTGAAATTATAAACTTCTTCAATAAAATTTTACATGTATTTGTCGTTTTCCTATTTATTTTTCATTGATCCAAGCACTTTTTTGTGTCTGCAGTTTTAGATGTTTTTAACTTAATGTGTTAGTGTCAAATTCCACAGATTCAACAACCGCAGATTTTTAATAATGTCCATTTTCTTCTGTTGCTTTTACCACAAGCTCTCTTTTGAATGTAGCGTGATCGGCTGCAGCAAGATGTCTGAAGGTGTCCTCCAGCAGGTGAGTTCGTCTCAGGTTCAGCTGCAGGACCGGGACAGGGGAGTCCAGGCTGTTTCCAAGAAACTCCTTAGTCCATGATATACCCATTTCATGAACAACATGATGAGATTCCTGCAGTTACAAAACCCCTTTCTATTATAAAGTTGTGGCACAAAATATTTGCAGCAACATACAAGATGCAGAGCTTATAAAGCATGTTACCTTCATCACATGTGCCAAGATGTTGAAGACAGAAACTTTACAAATCAGAGGGAAAACGAAAGGGTAGCGGCAGAAAATGACGGGTGTTTTCTCGTTGTCCTTTGAGAAAATGTCAAAATAAATGGTCAAGAAGGAATTTCAGCAAAATATAAGCTGATCATATTAAAACACCACATGACACTATTTTCACCTCTACTTTGGAAAGCGACAACCAAAGAGCAACGTCCACAAATACATTAATAGCTCCCGAAACAATGATTTCCTCCAGGTAAAAGGTGCTCAGTGGGACTTTGAAAGACTTCCCAGATTTGTTCGCCTGAAAAACAAAACAATGCGTCATATTGAAAGCGACTAGAAACAATATTTTTATTTCATTAATACAGAGAGAAATATAGTTTCGTAAATATATAGACTGCAAGTCAAACTATCAGTAGAGGTTATGTTGAATCAATACGATATTTCAAAGCATCCATTAATAGACTTGGCATTGGTAGTAGTGAATATTTCTCAAGTCAAAGGTCAAGCAGCTGATCAGAAGATTCTGAAAGGCTAATTTTATTATTTCAAGTGAAACACACAGCTGACTAAAAGAAAGCATTCAGCACTGACTTTGTAAAGGAGCTTCAGGACTTTCAGCAGCAGTTTGGCTCCTGGGTTGTGGGTTTGCAACAGGCCGTTCTTCAGAATGAAAGCCAGGGCGTTTTTGAAGGCCATGATGTGCCTGATCAAAATGGTGGCCGACAAAGACGACCAAGAGCTTTCTGCAGAAAAAATAATATGAATTTAAAAAGTAAAGCGCGCTACATTTATTTTAAGACAAAAGGTGACAAATTACTTTTTGTCTTAAACTAAGGGAAGACAAATCTTCCTAAATCTTAACTTGAAACATGAAAATTCAATACAAGTCCAGTAGTTTCTTACTCAAAGTTTCCAGAGTCTTCTCACTGAGATCCTCAATAACGACAGCCAGAGGCAAAATCACATTCATGACGTTTGAGTCTTCTTGTACCAGCGGACATGTCAGAAAAATCAGGAGAATCTCTGGTGACTTTAAATTACGTCTTGAGGCAACGAGCAATTCAGTCAGGACCTGCAGATTTACCTGTTTGGGAAAAATCTGTTTAAAAAGCTGTGCAAAACGTGCAGCATATCTAAATCCTAAACCTCCCAGTCAGCCGTCATCCAAACTCGTACGACCATAAAATTTCAGTTATTCTGAATAAATGATTAAAGCATAGAAATGTTTCTCTACTGTTTGCTTGATCCATGGGACTGCCAACATCTGGTCGAAGGCTTGACGAGCAGCCTCCACGTCCACAGTTAGAGCACCAGCTTCCAGTGGAGCCCCTCTGGTATCAGGCCCAGAGCAACGTTAGATGTGGGAATTGTTTATTTGTAAAACACACTTCTTTAATCCAAACTCCAAAGCCGATGGAAAATCATACTTACTCGGGTTTTGTGAAACTTGCAACAAGACTTGAACTTGTGTAAAACATGGACTCGATTTCTCTGTTCCACAAAAAGAAGACGGCATGACAAGGGCTAATAAACACTGAAATATATATTTTTGATCATCTAAAACTTTAAGGTGTGAGAAAAAAGTAAACCCAGAAGAAAACTTTAAGCATGTAAACACAACGTTTACATCATAGCAACACAAAAGTCCACAGTTAAATTATTAGGTTACCTTTTGGCCTCGATATTGCTGCACTTCTTTGCCACCCACTTCTGTAGTTTTGTCTCGTCCAGCCGCCCAATTGGTTGTCCATTGTTGAAGGTCTTGAACGTTTAAAACAGTAAAGTTTTTATGTTTCCTTTTCAGGTTAATTAAAAAGTACTTTTTGATTTGATTCCACCTTACCTTTGCAGGTGAAGTGTAAATGAAGTTTGTGTCCCATCCAGCTGATAACTTCAAGTCTGCTTGACAACATAAGAAATGATTAAAGTCAGTCTTTAAAAAAGATAGATTAGAAATGCAAAACCTCTTTTTCAGAGTGTGTAGGATAATTTTATTTTGGTTGGATTCCAATCTCAAAATTGTGCCAAAATGCCAGAAAAAAATGAAATCATCTCACTAAAATGGACTCCTTGACAGGCGATCAAAAAAATACATACTTCTGAAATTATTAAATCGATCACCTTCCACCCAGGGCGACTGCATACGCACCACTAGGTGTGGCAGCAGCTCTGTCTGAGGCCCATGGAAGCTGAACTACGGAGGGGGACGAGCTGCTGTCTCGCTGTCCTGTTCCCAGCTGGCCTTTGTCCCCATTACCAAAAGCAAACAGACGTCCAGAAGAAGTCAACACGAGAGTGTGACGTCTGGAAGGCCAGAACCATGCAAGAATTTAATGAGGCAGTATTTAATGCCACGATGTCTTGAGGTTTATTGGAATGGTTTTACAAAGTCATCTCACAGCAGATTGGCCTATTTACCTCCCACATGCAACCTGGGATGCCGTCTCTCCGAGACCATCAACCAGCCTGGGCCGAACCTCAGTGGTGGTGGAGTTGTGACCGAGCTGACCGTGGCTCCCATCTCCGAAAGTGAAAACTTTCCCATCCTACAAAACCCAAGAATCACATGGCACCCAAAAACTATGAATGATTAGTTTTTAAAGGCTGGTGTTAACAGGGCTTATTAGTACCTTTGTCAACACAGCAGTGTGCGATTCGCCACAGCTGATGGAAGAGACGCCCAGAGGTCTGAGAGCAGGTACCACGCAGACGTTGAACCTGCCTGTTTTGGATCAGATAACATCACAAAGAGCTGGACACTCAGTGCTTTTATATGGAGGCGTCTGAGACTTACCTGTTAATTCCCATCTTAACAACAAAAAAAAGATTACCGTAACCTAATCTACCTTTTTCATCCACCCTGTTGAGCCCCAGCTGGCCAGATTTATTGGCCCCACAGCAGTACGTCAGGCCGGAGAGCGTGAGGAACAGTGTGTGGCTTCCTCCGGCTGCAACCTGGGTTACTGCAACTCCGGTCAAGGCGTACACCAGGTCGGGTCTGTTCTGCAGTGTCACGTCCTTCCCCAGGCCCAGCTGCCCATGACTGTTTAAACCCCAGGAGAAGACATCTCCTCCTTAATAAAACAAAGAAAACAAAATATAACACAGAGTTGGCCTCTTCGCATATGAAGACATAAATCTTTCCTCAGCAGGTTTGCAACAGTTACCTTTGGTCAATGCAAGGGAATGGGAGTTTCCACAAGCCACTTGGATTACCTGTATGGGCAATGGGATGGGCACTCGGCTGCAAGTTGATGAGGCAATAATGGGTTACATATATTTCCATTAAATAGTTCATGTTTACATGTTAGTTACAGCTCTTGCCTGGGTCTAAGGTTGTTGCTGGGGTGCCTTTGTGCAAGCCCAAGCTGCCCATCTTCTCCTGCCCCCCAAGAAAACACTTGTCCAGAAGAACATACAGCCAGACAATGGTCCTGACCACAAGCCATGGCGACAACATCACCGAGTCCCTCCACAGACCCTAAAATATGGAGAAAGAAAAGTAATGATACCAGAACATAAAAGGATTGAAAAATCATTTAAGTCTTTCATTTATAAAATTAATACATTGAATTGTGAACACACCAAAATTTCACTCATCAAATTTCGATCACATCAGAAACTCTCTGTCAACAAAAGCAGCAACACCATAATTTAATTATGTTATGACGTCACCTCTGGCATGTTGAGGAAATTCCTCAAGCAAAACAAACAAACTTTGAGAACTCCCTGCCCTACCTGTCTCAATCACATTCCTAAATTAAGTTTCGTTGCATGAATAAACTGAGATGAAACGAAACTGAAACTCAGCTCAAGAAATTAGCCTACATGTTATGCCTGTCAGATGATTCACGCCTCTCGCATGAGGCAATACCAACCTGGAGAGGATCATTTAAAAGAAATACAAAACTCTGACTGTCCTGCAGTTATTTTTTGACTACATAATTAATATTAGCTTACGGTCAATTATTTGGAAGAACACATTTAATTCCTTGTAAAATAAAAACCAAGTTATTTCATACAGACAAAAAAAAATGCAATTATTCACCAAGCATCTTTCCACTTTGGTTCCTTCGACCAAGTCGGCCCTGCGAGTTGTGTCCACATGATAAAACTTTGCCGTCGGCTCTGAGGAATAAGGTGTGCTGCTCTCCGCAGCAGATGTCGGTTACGGTTCCGGGCCCGGTCCAGGACACCGGGCTCAGGGCTGCTTGGACCCCAAACTGTCCACTCGAGCTGTCTCCCCAACAAAACATCTGCATGTCTGCTCTAGACTGACCTCAGCGTCTCGCGGCTGGTCTACTTCAGCTGGAGCTGCTGCGTTCACGTGCTGTCGAAATTATAAGACTCCTCTTATAAGTGCGTCAGAAAAATATTATTCCGCGCCCGTAGCCCTTTTGGAGACATTGGCTCGCTCTGGATTAGGTAAAAGATCCCAATCTGATAATTATATTCAGCTTTACAGTTTATTTTCAAAAAGTAATAATGACCTTAACTGTAGTACGAGTTCAAGGTACTCCAAGTACTACGAGCTCATGAAGGTACGTGAAGGCAGCACCATTGTTGCTGTTTTTATCAGTCTAACTTCATCTCCATAAAATTTCTGCTTTATGTAGTAACATCCTACTGTAACTTCCTACAGTAAATGTAGGAAGTTAAATGTTTTTTAAACACTTTTCAGATCGATAGACAGAAAGAAAGACACATCTTTCATGAGGATTTTTAATCTAATGAAATGTTACAAAATGCATGATCATGTCAAATGCAATTAGGCAAAAATGAAACTGAGCAAATTCAAACTGAGAGTTGCATTTAGCTTAAATGCACTACAGAGAGAACGTAATTATGTTCTTTCACTTTCCTCCCATTTTACATCAGTCAATCATTTCTATTAGCTAAAACCAAGAATGAGAATTTTTTTGATAAAAAAGAAGTTTTACTAAGCAATCTGAAAAAGTCCAGAGGAATTTCTAATAGGTCATTTTTTACCAATATCAATTTCCCAGAGACATAACATTTTTGATGTAAAGTGTGATTCTCAGTCCCTAGACAAAAACAAAAGACACATGAAGCTTCTGGTTGAAGATAGTGTCCTGACCTGGACCAATATTGGGTGAAAGGAAAGTCAGTGAGGAAGAAGACACACACACACACACACACACACACACACACACGCACGCACGCACGCACGCACGCACGCACACACACACACACACACACACACAAAGAAAAAAAAAGAAAAAAAAATAGATTATAGTTTGCAGTTGCATCCTGGCCTAGGGACATTTTGGGTTTTTGGAGACGTTAGAACATTATTTATATTGATCGAATTTTCTAAGACCAGAAACTATAAAACCTAACATGCAATAAGGCATAATGTGCTTTCAGACACTACACAAGAAAATTAATAACAGTTTTAAATTCCTGGTTGTCAAAGAAGCTACAAAACATCTTCTTGGTGACTAAAAATTAACCCATTTAATTTGAAAGGTCCCATGTCAGATGGCTCCCTACTGAAAAAACTATGTACTGTAACAGAAAAAAAAATACAAACCAGTGTAGGGCCAAAAAAGATCTGCAGTCATTTTGTTTACACTGTATGTAAGTAGATACAGTCGGCTCATGACCAGGTAACGTTGGGTTTCGACTGATAACGACAGTTTATAGGTTCTCTGTCATAGGGACATTTTATTGTTACAGATTTTAAAATCTCTCTGTCCCAGAATGACTCTTTATCAGCTGTAGCATCAGAAACAAAGAACACACCTACAGACCCGTCCTCATAACCCACAAACACGCCTTGCTGCTTGCTAACAGTCAGGGCTGACGGCTTCTTATGCAGATGTACGTTTCCTATTCTCTCTCTGTCCGAAAGCCGCACGACTGTAAGGATGAGCTTGGAGTGCAGGTAGCATTCACAGCTCTGCTCCTGGCTACTTGGGTTGCATACATACACAACATAGCACCCAGTTTTGTCCAAGCAAGCCTTGATGACAGGACCCTCAGCTTTCAAGGAGCACAACCTGACCCGAGATAGATCTAAGAAGTTAATGAAGTTATGATCAATGGACAGCAGTGCATAGTTCCCATCAGGCAACATTTGAAAGTCTTGTGGCTGACAGTGAAACCTACGTGGCAGCTGAAAGTGCCGGCATACCGTCTCCTCTGACATCTTCCAGGTGTACACCGCTCCAGAGGCAGTCAGCACCACAACAAAGTTCGGATGGTCTAATAGACACTGGAAAGCAACAACATGCTCTGAGTTTTCCACACAGGAGAAGCGCTTGCTGATTGAACCAGACCACAGGCTGGCAGCCAGTAGGTCTCCATTGCAGAGGCCAACAAGAAAGGTCCCCTCAGCTGATACTTGTGCGTCTGACAGGTACTGATGAATTTTGCACACAATAGCTCCATGTGGCAACTTCCAAACATGAGAGAGGCCATGCTTAGAAATGCTCACTCCAAATTTACTACTGGGAGTGATTAGCACATCTGCAGCACAGCCGCCGCTGATACGCGCAACGTTCTCACCTGTTTCTGTCTGCCAGACGTATATTTCCCCTGCAGAGAGAGAGAGAAGGTGGCTGTTGTTTGGAGAGAGCTGTATTTTTTCCACAGCCCCGGCATGCAGGAAGATAAACTGTGGAAATCCAACATCTAAACTCCACTTCCAGACATTCTCTGATCCATCTGTGGTGTAGAAGCATTTTCCTGTTTGCTCGACTGCCATGCCTTTAACTTCACTCCTCATTTTCGTTGCCTTACCTGCAGCATTGATCATCTCTGAGTCCCAGATTGTCAGACATCCATCATGACTCACGCAAAGAATATCTGAGGCTGTTTTGAGAAGCAAGTGGGGCTGGCTGTTTGTTTCTAAAGAAAGGACGCACTCACCAGTGCTGACCTTCCACACCAAGATGTTTGTGAAATGGTCCAACAAAGCCAGGAAAAGGTGTCCATCCAGGGAGAGCACCGCTTGAGAAAAGGCTTTCCCTTGCGGAGCCAAGAACTGGTCCCACATCTCCCAGTTGAATGTATTCCACAATGTCAGCTGGTGAATTTGACACACCAAAAGAGTGCTGGTGGCTTTGGAATAATCTGTGTTGAGAATACTGGAAGACTCACCCTGACTGAAGTTTTCTTTGAGAAGTTTGGGTGCTTGTTTTTTATCAGCAACGTCCCATAAGGCTACACTCCCACTCCTGTCCACACATGCAATCTCTTGCTCCTCTTCACAGAGGATTATCTGCATAATTGCACTGTTGGTTGAGTTTAAACAGGTGCCAAGAAGACGGCTGGTCGTCAAATCAAATATTGACACTGTGCCGTCCTCTTGTCCACAGTAAAGGCTGAAACTCTTTACAGAGCCAACCAAACAGATCACAGAGCTCTCACACTGAAAACGAGTAGAGGTATTTTTGGCAATATCAAACACACTGACAAAACTCTCCTTTTTCCACCAGATGCATATCATTTCCTGACATGAGATGAATCCTTCAATCGTACTCAGAGTTTGACTTGACTCAGACTCCGATTTGAGAGATTCCTTCACCTCCATTAGACTCTGTGGATTCGCCCCATCCCACACAAAGAGTTTGCTGCATTGCGTGGAAAGCAAAAGGAATTTGCAATTACTTTTAACTCCTGAAAACTTTAACTCCTGTTGATCCTGGATAAGTGACAGCTTGTACAAATCACAAATTGAACCCGTCCAAATCCAGGCAGAACCATCATCCATGACCTCTGCCACAACATCACATTCCGTACATGCAATTTCTGCAACTCTGGTTGTTCTGGTTTTAATATTGGGTCCTACGTAGCAAATGGGGAGAACAGAACAGGGAGTGGGACAAAGTACCAATCCAACTCCTTTTTTCTTCTCCTTCCTGTACTGTCTGATGTCTCTTACGTATCCCTCAAAGGCAGGAAAAACTTCCAGGTAAGGGAGGAGGTTTATCTCCATCACTGCAGGCAGTTGCAGGGGTGAGATCTGCAAAAAGCAAGCAGAGGACTTTAATGTGCTTGCTATAAGCCATTTTTCTCTTACAAACTTTGTTGAGCCTTCATACGCCTTCAACATGGCTACCAGCTCACTCAGCATGCCAGCTTGAACCATGGCTTGATGAAACCCTAAAGACATTAACAACTCAAGTTCCAGTTCTTCCAACCTCCCACTTTGTTGCAAATGATGCGGCAACTCTTGGATCTTTCTGATGTTCACCCGACAAACATCTTCAGTAACGGGAAAAATAAATGGCTGACTCACTTGTTCATGTTCTGGTTCAGATGCAAGACTTACAACAAATGGCTTTTTATTTCTACCAATCCGTCTTCCACTGAAATAGTCCACCATCTCTGAATGGATTTTCCTCCTCACTCCATGACTGCCCAGATATCTTTTAGTCACAACAAGCCTGAAATGCCGGCTCACCCAAAACAGAACCTGCAAATCAGCGATTGGCCGTTTGATTAGAAAGTTTTTCAAATCCATAAGAAGCCTCTCGACATCAACCTGGGAAATTGGTCCCTCACGTTCAGCTGGGCTGTCATAATTACAGGACAGCAGATCCACAAACTCCGACTCACAGAGCCCGGTCCTGGACAGGGAGACATAAGAGGCCAAACGAGCCATCAGGGACGAGCCGTGCTTCTGTTCCAAGTGATCCAAGAGAGCTGAAATAGACGAATGGACGCTATCAGGGAGAGACGACTCGGTCACATCTGAATCTGAACAGAAAAGACAAATTAGATATAAAATGTTTTAACTGCTGGTACTAATGTATCTACAAGAACACCCTATGATCAGTCCATGAAGCAACATAAATTGAAATTTATGTACAAACCCTGAAAGAAATTACAACTAAATAACTTGCTGAAATCTTTAATGAAAACAATCATTGAGAAGAAAAAGGTGTTTTTAAAGTGCATATGCACAAAACAGATAAATATTTCTATTTATTGGGTAAACTTTAGAATAATTTCCATGACATCCTTAAAACTTTCAGTTTTTCGGTTTGTGAAATCCTATCAAGAAAAAGCTACATATTACATAGAAAATATGTAGCTTTTTATTGTTCCTACAGCTATCTGTAGGAACAAGTAGTTATTGTTTTAGTCATACCAGAGTGCCAGAGTGATGTGTGTGCATGTAGGAGTCGAACATAGAGAGGCAGAGAGCAGGAGGTCAGCGCCTGGTTCACCAGCGCTTGTTGTCCTGATGTCACCTTTCTTCCTGAGCTGTTGAGTAGCGATTCCAAAAGCTTCGCACACTGTTTCCTGTCCTCTGATTGGAGCAGTATAGAGGCAAATCCAGTCTGCTCCTCACTGTCGTCTTCTGATGCAGAAGGAGAACGGCTGCCTTGCTGGGGATAGTGAAGCTTGATGGCTTGCAGGAGGCCTGTTCTGCTGGAGGAGACTGTGATTATGAGTTTGACAGCATCAGGGAGCGGAGAAGGGATGCTGCTGATGATCTGAGCACCAACGTTGTCCTCCAGTTGATCCAAGCCATCGAGGATGAGAATAAGAGGATGCTTTGCGGAAGGTAGCTGGGTTAGAATGGACACAAGATGCTCTTCAAGTTCAGACAGAGAAACATCCACTTTTATGACGCTAGAATGGAGTTCTTGAGAATCTGGTGTTTTACAGAAACCTGGGTCTCTCTCATAGATCTGTTTTCCATGGTGGCAGTCATTGTGAGGAGCCACAGCAGATATTAAGGGGTCGTTAGTCTTACAGCTGCACTCATTTGGGTTCTTGCAGGGCCAGGACTCAGCCTGCAGCTGGCTGAGTGACTGCTCCTCATATCTGTGAACTATCTGGTGACAGATACTGGAGAGCAGATGCTTAGGGGATGTACAGAATGAAAGGTTACAAAAACAGCTGATCACCACTGGATCACAGTCTGGGAGCCAAACCTTGATCTGTGGAGCAGAAAATTGATTTATTTATAAAAATCAACACTGTTCTCTTGAATTCAGGTCTGATTTTGTTTTATTTTCTATGTTAAAATTTAAGACGACAAAAAAACGGGATTCAGTTTGAGAACCAAAAAGCAGTTTATGTTAAGTTGCATCAACATTTTTCTTTTAAAAAATTATTATATATTTAAACCTAAACGGGTAAATATCTACCACAGTGTAAAAAATTAAAGCAAAAGAAAAGAAATTGATGCACCAAAACATAAATTATGTTAAACTTAAACAACTTAACAAAGACTATTCTTTTCATATGGACTTAATGTATTCCATAATATTTCATGAAGCAAATTAAAATATACTTGTCTCTTGGAATCACGCTTCATTTCACTGTCCACTGACCTGTTCAGCGCAGTGTGCGATTAAGACAGTTTTCCCTGTGCACGGTCTTCCACTCACCACTAGTGGGCGCTGTTGATCCACGCCTTTCACATATGCACTGATCTACGACCAAAAAGAGGAAAAAGCTAATTGGAGCATCATTTGGCATCAGGTTACATATTACAACAACAATAATGAAACCTGCAACAAAAAATGTGATTCTCACCTTTTCCTCCTCTGGCCGAATAATTTTGTAAAACTGAGCCAGGATGCAGCACAGCTGCTCCTGCTCGGCCCGCTCCCTGGATGGGGCATCGATGACATGAGCTTGCCCTCTGACCCGAGGAATGTTCGAGCTGTCCGTCAACGCCACGAGGTCTGAGAAAGCCTGCTGGCACAGAGAGTCTGCGTAGGCCCGCCTCCTGGCTGTGGTGTAGCCATGGCGGCGGTCACACTCGGTGGTGGTGGTGTAGAGGATAAGTTGGCGGGAAGTGAGCAGAGCAGGGAGGAAGCTGTCACACAGCTGTGATAATAACTCAGATGGAGTGGCCACTGTCTTCAAAACGCTCTGCTCACACAAGTCAGCCTGCAAATTTCAGATGAACATACAGGAAAACCGACTTCTGTCGCATCTGTACATTGATCAACATTTAAAATTTCACTTATGTTTTGATTTAACTTTGAACCATAATGTTTTGATCCCTCCACTAAAAATATATGATATCTTTCTGAAATGTCTCCTTTTTGATAAACTCTTACCTTTAATGTTGGCTGCGGCTTTGAGTTTCTCTGTTGTTTTCCTCTTTCTCCATCTGCATTGACGACCTTGTGGACGTAGATCATACATCTGTTGATAATGTCCAGGACAGGGCAGTTTTCCAAAGCAAATCGAAGATCTGAATCAAGAGCTAGAGACAAAAATAAAACCCCAGAATCAGGTACATCCAGCTCAGGATAGCATTCTCTTAAAACAAATTTAAATTCTGCAAAGCACAATTGGTTAAATTTAATACCTGTAAAATAAAGAAAAAAGCAGCTTCTGTGCTTTGTTGGCATCTAAAGCAGACCAAGCTTAGGAATCACAGCTTTAGCACAAAATGCTCATTTCAAGGTGACTAACAAACAAGAATGCTCTGAATTGGTTCTTTTTTTAAAAAACAGGTGTAACTCAAAAACTCAAAAACTGACAGATTAAATGCTAAAGCCACTGACTGACATTACTCATCAAATATAAAATCTGCAGTTTATGCAAACGACATGGAAAAATCAGTGTGTGATTAGAAATTGAATATAAGCATATATATTTTTTTACACCCCGAAGATATATAAATATGAAACTATCACCAAAGTCCCAGCATATTCTGGGGAGGATCGTGTCTTTGTATAAGACACGTCTTGGATTTAGTTTAAGGTGAGGTCAGGGATCCCACAGGCTGCCATCATTGCCTACTCGGTACATAATTCACAAATCTTCCGTTTTGTTGTTGTTGTTTTTACCTGATCTGTAGAAGACTTGGGCTCTCTCTGCACTCATACGGCTGCTCTGGACACACAGACTCGCAGCTGTCTGCAACACCTTCCTCAAATCTTCATCACACAACATGTTATTCTCCTTTTCTTCCGTCTCCTCTCTCTGCTGAGCAAAAACACTTTGATATTTTAAATTTTGTAAGTCATGATTGTCTTCTGTATTTTCCAGCACTATATTTTACACATGCACCAAAATATTCTGCCTTTTTTTAAAAGGTTTATTGTTAAACACGAAGATTAATTTTCACATGCATGTGTTAACAGATTGCTTTCTGAACACTTTCCTGATTAAAAAATAATCAGGAAAGTGATAAAATCCTATCATGTGATTACATTTAGCCACACAACTAATTAAATAGGTTGACCGTAATCACCAGAGGACTGCAGACGGATTTCACGGCAGGCGTCAGGCGGTAGGAAGGAGGAACGGCGTTCTCATCTCTCTGGTACGCCCTCTCCAGCTGCCGGGTGCCCATGCCCACCTGTTGGCTCTCCTGCAGCAGCAGCTGGAACTCCGACACCTCCACCTGGGAGGGCAGACAGGCTGGTCCATACTGGTGTCCAACCAGAGCCTGTAGCACCAACATGCGGACGCAAAGCGATAGCGATCAAAGCAGAGAAAACTCTTTCGCTGTGAATCTATGATTAGGGTGGGCTTTTTTTTTAGCTTTGTAAAATCATTTATAGCAGTTTTCTGTCTGAACATTTTGAATAAATAAGTAATCTGAGGCTATATTGTATTGTAAGATTCTATTTTAAATAGTCATTTACTATGTTACCTTTAGTTGTTATTTTGTATCAAACACGACTTAAAAGAAATTAGACTTCACAATTTTTTGCCTTGAAATTGGCCTTTGTCTCTTTCCGACAGTCAGCCTTCAGCATGTCATAACCAATGCTCCTCCATCATGCCGTTTACAAATGTTCTTAGGAGCGTTGAACTAAGAAATTTTGTAAGATGAGCTCAGCAGGTGTGCAGCTCCATCAGGTGTTTGATAATTGCTGCTGCTGGTCGAGAGGAGCTAAGCAGGGGAAGGATGCAGCTCCAAGGACAAACTTCAAGAAAACAGGCCGCGCTTTGTGAGAGCAAGCGTTTAGGCACCCCCAAACGGCTGCTATGGGAAATGAAAAGATTTGCATGAAAGAATCAAAGTAACATTCCAAGTTTGTATTTGATGAGAGAAAAACATTGTCGTATATCCCAAAGCTCGAAAAATGTGATTTACATAACACCCTATCTTATCTTTAGTCCATAATTGAACTGGCACACATTGAGATAAAATCATGACCAAAGCATTGATCCTTGTTCTGATGAAACCCCAGCTTTTAGCTCAAGCAATGAAGCTTGTGTGCCTAATTATAGTCGTCCTTTAGTTTAGAGCTCCTAATGCTTGTGGGAGCGAGCTTTGATCTCCATATTCAGCGTGCATTTAGTTTTTCCTCAGTGCAGTTTCACTTACCAGTAAAAACGGTCCAGCTGAGTTCTTTCTGCACTCTTCAATTAGCTGCTGCCTGGTGTTTGCATCTGGCCAACAATTAGGATCGCTGGACTCAAATGGGTCGATCAGCTGCAGAAGCAAACCCACACATACGGTAAAACGACATAAGAGACATAACTGCGAATCGATGCGGAAACTTCATTAGAAGCACCAACCGCAAACAACCGAGAAACGGCTGAATGATATATGATGTTTGTGTTTGTGCCTAATTACACAAGCTGCTGAATAGAATGAGTTTCACAAAGGGCTGATCGACTTGTCCAGGGGGTGACTTAACACACACACACACACACACACCCCAACACACAAACACGTTTGAGAGCACAAAGCACGCAGTGCAGTCCTGTTGCAGCTGCTCACTGTCTTTGTTGTCATTCGTGATTAAGCGAAGTTAAGCAGAATTGATTGTACCTTCACAGGAGTGGCTTCAGGCAGGAAATAAAAATAAATAAAACATTAAAAGAATAGATACCATCATGAAGCTGGTAATAATCACTTGCAGCTCTTTTATTTATCCCACTGCTGGGACCCAGTTACTACATAAACTTTTCATGCTTTTTAGTTGACTGATGGAAACTTAATTAATGGCAACACCTTTTAACCCCAAACATTAAAGGAACAAACAGCAACCGCAGACATAAAGTATTACATTTCTTCTATCTAAAAATAACTGATGTACACTAAAGTTTGAGTTCTTTGTCAAAGACTAATGTTACACTTAAAACGTCTTAGCTGTTGTGTTTTCAGTGCAGTGAGTGTGATTCAGAGCCGGGTACTCACCCTCACGTCTAGTGCCAGTAAGCTCCTACAGTGCTCTCTGAGCCTGGGAAACACTTTTTCTCTGAGAGCTCTTCGCTCAATCACGCTGTCTGACATGCAACAAAAACACAAACAGGAATCACTTGTAGGCAAGTAAAAATAAAGGCTCTAATTGACACAGTGCTCAGATTAGAGTAGATTTATAAATATGTAAAAAAAAAAACAAAACAGTACCTTCTGGATTGGAGCACAAGTAGATTTTGACACAGGACGAGCCACAGCAGTAATATGAAGAGTGCCGGCCTTTTCCTTTGAATGGCATGCCTGGTCTGTGACCCTCAAATATAAATAAATAAAAATAGGGAGTAAAACTTTTTCTGAGAATATAATAAGCGACCTAACTAACAAGTTGATGCCTTTCTGACGGTCCTCTGTTGCCACCAGTGAGGAAACTCTGGCCTTTGGTTTCACTTGCAGGCTGTGATATCCTGACCACGCCCACTTCTGGTGACTGGAATATAGCAGACACACATATTATACACCATGTCTTTATGCATACACCGTCATCCATGTGTGTACTTGTGCTAAGCTACGTTAACATTTCACTTTCACCATCCCTTGTATTCACACCTATTTTGACAGGTTACAATCAGAAGCATCCTCACCTGAGAGGAAGCAGTTAGATAAGCTCTTAAAGAAGGTCAACTCCATCTTTGACCCAGGACAGACGGTGGGAGACAGAAGGACTCTGACAAAATGGACATCGCTGTTGGGCAACGTATCCTAGATTCACAAAGGAGCATTGCCACAGAACATTCCTCCTTCCTCCTGCAGCTGTATGAATCCCTGACAAACTAAATAAGTGTTATCATCCCTGCTGTTATTTGCAGTTTTTCCATTTCTACTCTTACAGTTCTTTGCATCGGAGTATGCCATCATTAATAAATTCACTTTTCTTGCTTGTGCAATAATTTTGCCTGGACAATCAATTTTCTTACTTTCAGCTTTTACATTTGCACCCAAGAGTGAAACTGCACGATTCACATTACTTCTCACTTTGCTGCTGGAACACCCAAATTTTTCTACTGCAGGACAGAGAAGTGATTCTGTTCTATTCTATTAAGAAGCTTGTGTGAGAAATGTGGATGAGAAGCCAGCCAACTCCAGTCAATGCACCTTTTGTTGCAAGTGCTTTGGAGGACTTCTCTGCCAGGACCACCTTTGTACATTAATAATAACAGATAAATTTGCTTGTGGAGCACATATCAGCAACATAGCAGTTCAAAGTGCTTTAGAGACTGACATTGTCCATTCATCTTGCAAGACGGTTCAAACTGTCTCAGACTGGGTAGAGACAGATGATGACTGGCTATTTTAAAGCCTTGACACAGATTTCTTACTTTATCCTTACATTGTGGAAATTGTTCTGATAATAAAATAAGAAGCAAATCATTTAAAAGTTTGAGTCTTTGAACCCATGCATGCAATTATTCAAGAAAATAAGACAAAAGTGTTTTAAACATTTTTTATTAATTAACTTTTGTACACAATAAATACAAACTCTATTTTTGTACAGCCAATATTAATACGTTGAAAGACTTTTGCGCCTGTTCTCATTACTGTCACGACGGCAACAGTCTATGAAGGGAGAAGGCCAGTTTGTTTCACCGCATCACTGATACTCGCGGGCTGCGCTGCTCTGAATCAGATATATAGAATCATATAAAAACATAGAAAAAACACAACGTAACAAACATCTCAACCCTGGAGCAGATAAAAGAGACTGGCAAAAGAAGGAGAGCTAGGCCTCTTCAAGGTGGCGACTGGCAAATAAAAAGTCAAACGTTGCACTTGGGCCACCACTCTTAAATCTGAAGAATTTCAATAACAGCTCTGAAAACCATTGTGGGGAGATTTCAGAGAAAACAAGTGGAGTCGGCTGCATTGCTATTGTTTTGGTACGTCTCTCACATCACCTTCATCTGCTTTCTAAAAAGGAAACTAGTTAAGCTGAAGCCAGATCTTACTGGAAGAGGCTTGTCTTCCCTCTAAAGCTTCAGTTGACATGAAAATGTACTCACTTTTGGAAGATTACCGATAATAATTTTCACTAAGAGAAATCAATGCGCACATACTGCCAATTTTCTTCCGGTTCTGAAACCACATAGGACAAAAAAGGGGTTTTTGCTGCAATTGTGCTGCAAAGAGGTGTTGGATTGTGGAGCTTTACAGTTCAATAAGCCCATTAAACCAAATTGGGCATTTATCCTCAGTGTGTTTCAAAGTGGGACTTTTAAAGCTGTAATATTTTTTTGAACAGTCAGAGGTTTCCTGCTTGGGGTCAGTTTGCCTCACAGGAAGCTCATTTTGCGCCACTGAGTATCAGTTTATTTATCTCGACACTAGATGTAATTGGATGAATAATTAATATACTAATTCCATGTATGATGTAACGATTTGTATATTTTCTTTGTGTATATATTTCACACTGTGTCCCATTTCTTCTAATTGTGGTTTAGACTTATAAAAAAATTATATTAAATCACTGGTTGTTGAATAGGGTACAAAATCATGCAAAACAATGAAAACTGCAAACATATTTAAGGCATAAAGGGAAAAACGACCAGCTCCCATTACCCCAAGAGTCCAAAAAACAAATAAGCAAAAAAAAAAAAAAAAAAAAACACAAAGAAATACCAATCATTAAAATTTCTTTCATAATTTAAGAAAAACACCAAATGAGATTACAAAAAGTCATCTCTTTGAAGAGTGTATCATTGTTTTAAGCATCGGTCACCCTTAATTAAAGAGCATCTGGAGAGTCAGTATGAAAAGATGAAACTCGCATGTCTGCATGTGTCGCTACAATTGCCTATAAGAGTCGTCTCTAACCATGCTGATGCTAGAGGAGTGTACTGCTACTTTCCAGGGAAGGTACAAATAAATAAAAGTGCTACTACGCCCTTTAGGGAAGGACTTTTAAAGGCTTGGATAGTACATATTTATTTACTTTGAGTACAAAAAAACCTACCACAAATTAGTACTCAGCTCCATTTGCCTTATTTTCAGTCCTGTGTCCAAAATCATGTCAAGTAAACATGGATGAATGTTGAAGCTGAACAGATGAAGAAAAATCAATGCAACATGAGTTATGATCTCTAATGAGGAAAACTTCAGTCCTTGTTTCTGGCCCTAAACAGTTTTTAAAAGTTTCAAACAAATGTTTTTTTTATTTATCTATTTTTTTTTTTTTTGCAAGCACATAGTGAATACCAACAGATTCGGTGCGTTTCAAAGCACCAGCAGCTTTCCTCGACCAGTCACTTAACAGGAAAACCACAGCGCACAGAATGAGAGAAGATATAACAACTCGTGTGTGTAATATATTGTAACTGTATGTATGTATATTATAGTCACTGATTCACACCGACTGCCCAATGACAGAACGAATGTTGAGAGGAGAGACGTAAAGCAGAGGCGGCAGGAGAGGCGAGCACAAGACAAGAGAGGATCCAGCCTCCCTCGGCTCTTGTTTCTCTTCCTCTCTCTCCTTCCGTCTCTCCTTCCTGCTGTTATTTACAACACCCTTTTCAGTACATGATGAAGGTAAAACTTCCACTACATATCAGACAGGGTATTCCATTCAGCTCAGATAGTCTATATGAAACCGTGTGCATAAACATTCCTATGACAACAGTAATGTACTGTACTAATACACATTAAATACGTATCATGATAATGACTATATATGACGCGAGAGAGAGGCCGGAAGTAAACCCACCGTCTGGGTTTTCTGTCCACGTCCCTCAGCCCTGCTCTGCACTCTGAAACACCCCAACAAAAAGTTTACTTTTTTCTTCATCCACCCTCACATCTCCTCTATTTTTTTTTCTTTTAAGAGCCTCAAAACTTGCAAAACATCAGAGCCCATCCCTGAGAAAAGGTCATTTTCAGCTTTTAAGGATGAATTCAAATGGGTGGGCTTATCGTACAACAACTACTAATAAATCAATTTCAAAAGCAACACTGGGCTGCACGCAAGTATGGTGTGACCGTCACAGGGTCAGAAGTATCACCAAAAGGTTCGCCAACGGGACAAACTATTGGCTGGCATTAATTCCCCCTCGGAAAGTCCTGACCTCGACCCGGCTGAGAACATAAGGGGCATGCTTCAAAGCTGGATCCGAACCTGGAAGCCAACCAATTTAAAGGCCCTCTATGTTTTCTGCCAAGAGGAGTCGTTCAATATCACACCACTATTATATCAGAAGTTTGTTCATGGTCATTGAAAGAACACAGTTAAACTCTCCAATGGGATATTTAGGCAAATATTTCCAGTGTTAAATGTATAAATGTGAGCTGGTATGTGCCCTGTTGCACCTAAAGACAGAGTAATTGTGTTTATGAGGTACATTGCTCTTTTTATTGTTTAATTTCCTCAGTATGTTGTCACAATCATTTCGGGAGAAGACAATTGCTTATTCCAATAAACTCAAACTTGTGCACCAACTTCCTGTTTGAAAAAAAAATCACTAGAATTGTTCCACCTCTGAAAGAAAGAGTTGCTTAAACTCATTGTTAATAAAGGACGAAAACTACCATGATATCAAGTTCACGGTAAATGTCCGTTAAACTTTAACTGTCAGTTCTCAGACTGTTTGGTGACTTAAAGCCCGTCCAGATCACTGAGTTAACTTCAATATGTAGTTTTTCCTGTTTCTCTACAGATTTCAATCAAAGATGTCAGCTGGTTTCAAATAACAAAATGACAGGTTTAAATGAAATGCTGCCAGCAAAGCAACAACATTTGTAACAGCTGCTGCAATCCGATGTGCTTCATGGGCTTTTAACTTATTTGAACTTTTGCTCCTAATTTCACCAATCAGATACCACAGTTGTAGTTTATTGGTGATCTTTAAAAGTACCTGAAAATAAATTTCAATATCTCAAGATGTATGTTTTGCTTGACTTTTTAAATATTTTGCCAGTTTTGGGCTCTGAGATGTTACTGATGCTCCAGGATTTAGAGTTCTGAAGGGGTTCAGAAAGTGCAGAGAAGAACTGCCTGACACATCTTGCGAGCTTCAAAAGACCCCATCAGTAACTGTTCCCCGTCTCTCCTTCCTCTCTTCAGCCCACTCTAACTTTCTGTGTGAGGTGACGTTTTAAGGCCAGACTGGAAGGACGGGGGGGGGGGCAAAAGAATGCAATGCTGCCCTTCGTTAGGGGTCTAAAATGGAGCAGATTTAATTGGAGACGCCAAGCACTACCCCGGTTCCCTGCTCTTTCTCTTCCTCGGCTTGGGGATGAGAGAAGATGCACAGCGCCCCGGCAGTGTCAGTGTGGTTCGATCGAAATAACTTCTCATCGCTTCATTTCCGCTCGCATCAGTTCAGAGCGAGTTCACGCTCACTGCATCAAGGTCCGCTTCCGTCTTTTGTGCAGGCTTGTCCGTCACACCAGCGTGATCTCCACTTCCTCCGTCTTGTCGCTTTTCTCATGCAGTCGCCTCGGCTGCTGTTTGGGTGGAGGCGGCGCGGCTCGCACCTGCAGCACAACACAACAAGTTAAAGTTAGAAGAAACGCTGAGGTAATCACACAGGTGGGGAACTTTTCCAAAAACAAATATATTTCCGATTTATCTTCTTTTCTTCCTTTCTTAACTTTTACTTTATTGATAAAAAACCAAACCATTGAAACCGTGTAGGATCACTTTTTCTTTTACAACAAATGTTAGGCACACAAATTTAATATTTGATTCATATTAACACTATCGCGAGTTATTGTGTCACATTATAAAACATCTGCTCGGCTTGTATACATAATCCACCTGCCCAAAGAGCAGATCATTTTTAAATAGATACTGTTTATTTACATATTAAAACTGTACAGAAAACGTTATTGAACAAATACTTCGAAAGATTTATCATCCAAAAAACGTGAACATGTGAATGACATCCTAGGTGTCTTTGATACCGACCGGCCGTAGTTTACCCGGTCCGCCTCCTTCAGCTGTGAACCGTAGAGGCTGAGTCTGGGGAAATCCTGGAGACACTGGACTCCTGCCAGAGCTTTGATCTACACACGCACAAAAATACAGCATGAGAAAAGCTCTCCACCCGGCCATCTCTCTCAATCGATAAGGTGTTTGAAGAAAGTTTTGAGCCAATCTCACTGTGAGAGGACAGCTGTCCCTTGTGTGAGGACGCCGGCAGAGGAAGCTTGTGCTCCCCGTTGAGTGCAGTGGAGGGGGATCGGGGCAGAGGAGGGGGAGTGGAGGTCTCTGGACTGGTGAAAGGGCTGATGGGAGGCTGGTCATACAGAGGCAAAGGCGGCAGGGAAGACGGCAACTTTGAAGATGGAGAAATCTAAAATAAACAAGTGACAGAAGGGCAGAGTTAAAGGGACATCTCCAGAAAGTTCTGTAAGCGCTACATTTTTAAGACATGATATACTTACAAAATAAATAAACATCGATAAGTGAAACTTTCTGGCAGTGTTCTTATTTTCTCACATCACTAACTCCACAGTATGTAAGCCATTAACTAAACCACTTCTACATTACCCAACCACTTTACCTCATGTAACACTTAAAAGTAACAAAATCCTCTTATGTTTGGTCTACGGGCTCAAAGGAAGGGAGAGGCTTCATCCTTCCTGTTGCCAAACCTCTAATCGGGCAGCGCTTGGTACCACCGATAAGGACATTTTTCTCTAATTACGAAGCAGGATTTTGATGTACCAGAAATGCAACTATTCCGCTTCACTGTTTGTGAACTCTGCTGACAGATTAGCTGGAGAACAGACAGGAAAGGGGATTGGGGGGGGGGGGTTCTGGTACAAAGTGGCGCAGCAGATACATGTATTCCCAGCTCTGAGGAAAGCCTGATAGCGGTGAACATGCAGCTCAGGCATTGATTATCTATGAAGCTCAACTCCATCTCTGCTTCCCCCAGATTCCCAGCTACACACAGACAGGGCAACCTCTGTTATCGGCAAGGCGACTTCCTGTGTGTTGCCGTACCTGTGTGTCATTCAGCGCTCCGCCGCTCGTCTCCCCGTTCTCAGTCAGATCCTCCACCAACACGGAGGGGAACACCCCCACCCGGCCGTTCAGCTCGCCCTCCCAGAAGCCGTCGTCCGTCTGAGTGTCGCGGTTCAGCAGGCGGATCACGGCGCCCTCGGAAAAGGAGAGCTCCTCATCTGCCTGGCCTTCGTAATCGTAAAGTGCACGGACGTACGCGTCTGCACACAGACAGAGAGAAAGCAACACAGACAGACAGGACAGCAATCAGTGTCACTCAGAGGGACTAATTATTCTCAGTAAAATACATTTCCTTGTCTGCTTTGCTCCTCATTGTTATGAAGAAAACTGTAAACCCAGCTGGAGAGGCAGAGATAAACGACAGACAGCAGTAAGGACAATAATGAGATGGGATTTCCTCAGGCGTTTGCTTTAAACATGCAGGTAGAGCTGACACAAGCAGAAGCAAAGCATAAGAGACTTCTAGAATAAAACAGGAAGCACATGTAAACAAAGCGGTTTACATTTTTTAACAAATACAAATCTGAAAGGTGTGGCCTGCATTTGCATCTTGAGTTTATTTTCTTCCACTACCTTTTGCTGAAATTACAGGTGCAAACTCTTTCGGAGCTTGTTTCCTCCAGGTTTGCACCTCTAGAGATGTGGAGATGTATTTCCAAAATACATCATGCTCAGAGAGCGTCCCTGAACAGAAACTCCCACAAATAAACAATTGGATTTAACTATGGACTTTGATGAGGCCATTCTAACATATAAACATGCTTTAATATAAAGCATTCTGTTATAGTTCTGGCTGTATGTTCCTGCATTTGTATTGTCATTTTACATTTTGTTTGTTGTCGTCTAAGCCCTTCTTTCACATATCAACACTTTCCGACTTTCTTCTTGCCATTCTTCCATTAGAGCATGACTAACAGGTTGTCTTGCCAGTAGATTCTCATACCTGATAGGTGAATCTGCAGCTCCTCCAGAAGTACCATGGTTCTCTTGCCTGCCTCTCTGATTAATGCTGTCCTTGTCAGCCCTGTCAGTTTAGATCAGAGGTGTTCATTTGTGGCAATGAGATTCATTTTGCGAGGCCCCTGACCTGAGCTCAAGAATGGTACAAATTTGGAGCGGATGCAGATGGACACCTTAAGTAATATTTTTTAGAATGAGACTTTCAAGTACAAATGTATCTAATTTCAAATGAAAAATGAGAATTATAAAGTATTAACCATGTTTTGTTTCTTTTGATTTTACTGTGATAGTGAGAACCAGAAACTTTCAGCAGCTTTTTAATATAATTTACTGAAACTGAATGCAGTACAAATAAAAATACAATAAATTGCTTTTCTCAAAGCATTTTCCAGACCAACAAAATTGACAACATTTGGGCCATAAAAGTTATGAAATTGCACAAATTTCTTTAATTCAGCAAACATTTTTTCAGTTTTTTAAAATTGAATTTCATTAAAGTACTGCATGTTTTTTAATGCATATTTATTGCCAAGTAAATGAAAAGATAAAAATTCACTTAAAAGATATTTTGAGTTTTTCAGTTCTCACTTAAAAGTTCAAAGTAACTCAAAGTATATTTTTAGTGAATTATTCTGACTCTAAGGTCACCGAGTGCTTTCAACTTGCTGACTTTGGCCCACAGTGGTTTAGGCAGGACAAGTTGGATTTTCAGATTATCGCAGGTTTGCAGTTCTGCAATTTCATTTTGAGACAATCAACTGAACCACACTTTATGAAATGTCAAGAGCCCGAGGCATAGTTTTACAGCCTAACTCTACTGTAAACATCTCCACAGCTTTATCTCTGACCTGTCTGCTGTGGTACTTGAACTTCATGATGCCAGATAATACTATTGTTCTCAAACAAACATCTTTGGCCTTCATAAAAAAGTTTACACTAAGGTTAAATTACACATAGAGGTAACATACTTACTAATTAGTGTACTTTTAAATTCAGTAGATTTAGGGTAGGAGAAAAGGGCAGAAAACAAATGGATGCCATGGATGGATAAAGAATGCTCAACCCATCTATAATTTTTCTTCTACTTCACAGTTATACACCACTTCTCAGTGGTCTGTTGCATAAAACCCAGTAAACGTCAATAAATCTTGTAGTTATATGTCTGCAAACACTCTAGATTAGTCTGACCTAGGCCATAACTTGCTTAAACAACTTCTTTAAATTGAAATTTTTTAAATGTTAATAGGTTTTGCTTATTTTTCTTAATTTATAACAAACTGCCAGATCATTGCCAGACCAGTTTGTTTTCTTCATCTGGGTTCTAGAAAAGCAATAAATAGAAAACATACTGAGCAATTAAAAAAAATAAAACACAAAATACTTTAAAGTGATATAAGCTGAACTAACCAATGATCGGATCCCTGTAGCTCCCCAGAATACGTACTGTTTGTGTCTCCGTTGATGCAGCCAGAGTGCAGCTCCGGTTCGGTTGAATTAGAGGAGGTGTGTGATCGAGCGTCCAGTGTGGCCAGGGACTGGAGCATGCTCAGCAGGCTGTTGGAAGTCGGGAACTGGAGGTATTTTTCCGGCACGTAGCCCACTTGACCCGTCTTGTTGCGTGCCTGGAAAAGAGAAGCAGGATAAGAATCCATTTAGGATTCTTCAGCTCCTCCATCTTCTGAGATGTGTGTGCATGTGTGTGTGAATACCTTGACCCAATCCTCCATGTCTCCATCCTCAATGACCTCCAGCATCTCCTGTTCGTCAATGGTTAGCTCATCTGGCTGAGATGCCTGCAGGGAAGAACAAGAATGAGATAAATATAAAGATAAAAGTATAGCAGTCAATAAGTGTCTTTGTGCTGTTTTATACCTTGTAGGAGTAGAGCACTTTGCAGGTTAGCGGGTAGTTGCGCAAGGTTCCCGAGGGACTGGAACTGCTGTCGTCGAAGACCTCCATGTTCTCCTCACACTCCTCTCCCTCTTCACGCTCCAAGTCCACTGTACCCTTTTGACACACAAAGACCGAGTCAGAACCTGGGATAAAGCAAGGAGGAATTTGACGTTGTTAAATAGTTAAAAAATATGTTGTGCTCTGAATCACACATCCAGGTGTAAAAACACAAGTTCAATTTAACATGTCTCTAAGATCTTTACCTATTCTAGCCTCAGAAACATCCCCATAAAGATAAACATCCCCATTTATTCCTGCTGAGATTCTGCTCTGTAGCTTTTAGAAACAGGTGCTGAGCCCCTGTAGTCCCTCCCTGTTGTGTCCCATGTATTTCCCAGCTCACATGAACATCACATGATCCCAGCTAATGGAAAGATCCATCACACACAGAGTGAGCCCGCTTAGGTCAATAACAATAGATTGTGTATGCATGCGTGCAAGTGGGTGTGTGTGTGTGTGTTTGCTTTTGGGTGATTGTGTTTAGACATCACATTTCTGTTGACAGGGTAAACGCTGCACCAGTGCAGAACAAAACTCATGTGTGTTTTGTACATGGATTAATCTCCAGCACTGATCTCCCTGAACAGAAGAGTTCATGTCCAACCCTCAGGTGCGGTCTGAAGGAATGAAACAGACAGAAAAGGCACAAAGCTTTCCTCTGTCAGGGATTAAGAAAAATATTTACATTTGATCATTTTGTTGCATTTACTGTTGATCTTAACTTTTCACCTTAACCAACTGTTAAAGATCCTTCTAGGGGTAGGTAAACACTGTGATGCCGACATCAATTTGTCTTGATCTATGTTTCCTATCAAATGGATAGTAATAATCAGAAAATAAGCAACGTAATGTTTTAAAAAATTTGACACTCAAAAGTGACATAAATTTACACTACATTTCACAAGAACATGGTCTACATTAGTATCAGTATTGTGGATACTGAAGGCTCTTCTGTATCGACGTTGCATGTCAGCAGGTCAATGTCAATATTGGGCAGCGCTCAGGGAAAAATCATAACACACCGATTATATTACCTAAAGCAGCCAATATAGTCTCTTTCACTGGAAACATGATTATAAAGGCTATATAACACTTCAGATCAACATAATGCACACAAATTAAAAAAACAGTTTTAAGAAACTTGAACAAAAAAGGACTATGACTAAAAAAAAGGGAAACAAAATTCTCTATTTGATGCAAAACAAAAATGAAGGATTTTATTTTTTGGAGGTAATAATACTGGCTGACAGGAGTTTAAGTATCATTCTCTTTTGAATCAAACTATGTTTGGCATGATTCAAGCAAATAAATTTTTCTGGCTAAAACAGAGCATAAATTTCTGTGATTAAGCAAATATTTTGTTTTAAACTTTACACTAATTGCTTTTTTATCTGATCACTCCTCACAGCAAGCTAGACTAGCTAAGCTAGCTAGATCCACCAATCAGGCTTTCCAAGTCAAATTTCTTTTTTCCCCCACATCTGAGATAGCAATATAGACCTTTTGCCTCTAGTGGCCTTTCTTCAATAGTGAAGTGGCAGAAAACAGGTTGTGAGAGAGAGGGGAAAACTTGAGGTCAATAGGTCAGGACTCAAACCGATGATGGCTGTGCTGAGGACTAAGGCCTCTGTACATGGATCGTGCGTTTGAACCCTGCGCAACGACCACGCCGTGTTTATATAAATTTTTTTTGAAGACTATACAATAGAGTTATTTAATTTAAGAGACTCTAGTGTAATCCATAATAATAATTAAATTACCCCCATCTATTAATCAGAACCTTTATGTGATGTTTTTATTTCAAATTTGCCGCAACGTACATGTTGTTGGTAAATGCATTATGTGCTGCAAATGATTTTTAAGTATTGGACAGGCCGATCAGATTATGTAGAGCCCATTTTAGAAAATTATTGCTGACTGACTGGCAGATCGGAGACTGACATGCACTCTGCAAGCTCAGAGGGAACACACTTGACTGGACGAGATAATGTTTTTAACTATTCTCTAAACATTTCGAGCCAATTTATTCTCCTTGGATGTGGAAGGATTTTCAAACCACTGACAGAAATCACACTATAAAGAGGAAGTGATTTTAGACATGGTTATAGATGAAGAACAGGGGAGGGAAGTTCAGGCTGCGATAAACCATAACTTAATGTCCAGTTGTTTATGGAGGACATATTTTGGTGTTGTGTTAGATTACTTTTATCTTCTTTGTAAAGTGGATTTAAAAAACAACAATAAGGAAACCAGCAGCTCAGTCTGTGAGACAGATCCCATTCCAACTCTGAAGCAAAAAATCCAGCATGTATTTCAGTAATAACCGAATAAAAATCACCCAGTAGATCTCAGTGTGCTGCTGAGAGCAAGACCAATGGCAGCTTTTATTGCTCTTGGAGGTAATAACTATGAAAGTTATGTTGTAATGAAGGCAGTGGCTGCTTGAGAGACTTGTGGGTTTGTGCCTCACAATATACATTTCAAAATGTGTGGCTCGATCCCATGAGGGATGCCTTTTGTTGGCATTTCAAGTAACCATGGCGAAGTAATTATCGAAAAACGAGCCAAATTCAAAACTGTCGTGTCATTCACACATGACGGTTTTCAGAGAGGATTGATTACCATAGCAAAAGAACACTGAGGAGAATAGATAACTACAGAGATGGCGGAGCAAAATTTTAGAACTACAGTGACGCCACCTTGATGGAACAATTAATGGCAGAAAAGCAAAAAAAAAAAAGTTAGCTCTATATGACTCATAAAACTTGATGCTCCTAAACAAACAATAACTTTGGGCTGTCAAAAAAACAGTATCACATCATATATTTTTTGACCAATAACAATATTTGTTGTTAATCTGAGGGCAATTTCTGGTAACCAAACGCTATGAAGTAAACATCAGACTTTGGCAAATTTTAACAAGTCTAAATTTGTTGTGCCTCAGCAGATAAGCAGTATTTCAAAAGAACTTATGTTTTATAAACAATAATATTCTTTGGTATTAATTTGGTGTTAAGGAAGGAACTTGTTTATACAAAGTATAAATCATAGGTTTACGTTTGTGTTGATTGTCTGTTTTTTTATATATATTTACCAGCAATTACCAAAAAGAAAAGCATTTTCACTTTTTTGCAAGATTTACCAACTCCAGAATTCTTATGATAAGATAAATAGTATTTCAAAAGACCAGAGGAAATCTTACGTTTTTTTAAACAATAATGTTTGTTGTTGATCTGTTGCTAGACAGACTGGCGACCTGTCCAGGGTGAACCCCGCCTCTCACCCGGAACGTTAGCTGGAGATAGGCACCACCAACTCCCGACCCCACTAGGGACAAGGGTGTAAGAAAATGGATGGATGGATCTGTTGCTAAGAGATGAGGGCAATTTCTGGTAACAAAGTGCTCCTGGAACCTGATGGGTTGTTGATTGGAGCTAAACACCCTCAACACACAGCCAGAGCTACAGTGGAGTGTTTTAGAGCAAAGCATCAAGGAGATATATTAGAACAGCGTAGTCAAAGTTCAAACCAAAAACTGCTCAAAGACAATCTTTAACAAATCTGTAGTATTAGGAAGAAATGGTCAGTCATACCTGAATTGACTTGAAAACTGTTAAGTCATACAGCTTTTCAGCTTTTCCTTGTAATGGTAGCTGTACACAGCTCTTGTTGGTTTATTATAAAATCTCCCAAAAATACATTGCGATTTCATAAAATGTGAAAATGTCTAAGAGGTATGAATACATCAGCAGGATGCTGTTAATCAAATGAATGGCTTGCAGATAGCATTTGCAGTGTATTTTATGATACAGTTTGATAAAGCAATCTATTTGATAGTAGCAGATTACTTGGAAGTACTCTGAAACCACCACACATTTAGACTCTAAGTCATTGTAATGTTTAGGATCAGACAGTATGGATTTTGCAGCATATAATGGCATTATGCTGTTCGCTTGTTTTGCTCACCCCTGCATCCAGTTTCACTTCAGCATTATCACTGTGTTGCTACCTTCACCTAACCGATCCCTCCCTGCATCTCATCGCACCACTTCTCTCATTCTTTTTCATGCTTCGATAATTGTCTCCTCACCGCTCCTCCATTGCGGCGCACAACTCCACCTATTGTCTACACTTCTTTCCATTTATCTCCTGCATAATTCCTCCCTCCCTCTCGCTGTGTATCCTCTGTTCTCCTTACACCCCAATGTCTCACCCTCTTCCTCTCTGCTGATAGCTGCAATATCCTGTGAGCAGAATGCCAAATGATTCCCACAGAGCAGCCAGACTATGCTTTAGTCACCTTGACTGACAGGCACAGACACGTCCATTGAAGAAGAAAAAAAAAACCCAAAAAAACCCCAAAACAATTTCTCTACAGGATAATTTGCAAAGAAGTACTTACTTCAAAGTAAGTACTTCTTTGAAGTACTTACTTTACTGTTTTGTAAATGCAGTGGAAAAAAAAACACTCCACTGTGGACTGTATTGATATCTTTTAAATGTAGTTCAAAAGAAACCTTGCACTTTTAGATTAATTCAGTTTGTTTACTAAAAATTCTGCAAAAAAAAAGAAGCATCCAAAAATGTCAAAGTAAATGTGATGAACACTTTGTTGTAACTTTTCTTGATGTTGCCTTTCTTGTGGAAAATGACACAATGTCAAGATCTTACATGAGATATGCTCTTCAGATATTATGTAGTTAGTTTACAAACTTATTTTCTAAACAATCTGACCTCCTGATGCCAGTTTGCCTTGAAAAGCCATAAATTTTACTGTACATGTGACAGACTGGTGACCTGTCCAGGATGTACCCTGCCTCTTACCCGAAACATTCGCTGCAGAGAGGCACCAGGATTCCTCCCGACCCCAATAGGGACAAGAGTGTACAAAAAATAGATGGATGGATATATTGTAGAAAAATGTTTTTAAGTTTTTGGATTTATTGAAATGGAATTGCCTTACAAATGTAATTAAAAAGAAAAAAAAGGACTTTCAAAGCCATTTCTTTGAATCTGACTGAAATATATATATATATGATATTTGTACAAAGTAAAATTTTACTGACAGAGCAAAACTATATCGTAGGCTGCACAGAACAGTTTTTATTATTTTTTTATTTTAACTGTTTGTTTTTTGTCTAATATTTTTTGACCTTTTACTTTTAATATTGCACAGTTTTTGTGTGGATGTGCATTGCACTGTGTTCTAATAAAGGTGTTAAAAGTAGATATTAATTAGAAATTGCTATTGACCTCGGTGCAGTCGTAAAGTGGTTGGATCTGCCAAGTCCTTTCAGTATTTTGACAATTTAGAAATAAACTCCCTGCTCTATAAGAACGGGTTCAAACATGCTGACCTGGAGCAAAATATAGAGTGAGGGGGAAGTGTCTCACCGATAGTGAGGGATCATGGGTTGTGTAGGTGGCCCAGCGTTCATTTTCCAGCTCCTCCATTACCTACAGCATTCAAAGAGAGAGACAAACAGAGACACGCATACTCACTGAAAATATATTTATAGAAACAAACAGCACCCAATATTTCACACTTAATTTAACGACTCAGGCAGTGAGAAGGTAAAGCACATGCACACAGACACCTTGTGTGTTTTTCACACCTCCGAAAAAGAAAAAAAAAAATCACAAACCTGGTTCATTGCACTCTTCAGCCAGGTATCTACAGCCACTCCAACTTGCCGCAAAAGGTCCAATCGAGCCTCAGCTTTCAGCTTTATTGTCTTTGGATAAATAAGTGAAAAAAGAGGCAAAACATATTTCAGTTTATGCTTAATTACTTTCTGTTTTGGTAGTGTTCTCCCTGAGTGGAAACTGTGAATTAATTTTACCTCAAAAGTGATACATTTGTCCCATCTTGTGCCCTTTATAAGCGGTCGTTCTTGCCAGTTTCTTTTAATGCGCTGTGAACACTGAGAGCTCTAAATGACATAATGCGATGATGCAGTGATCACAGCCAGCTGAGTGATCGCTAATTTTAACATGCAGGAGGTTCTTCCATCTTTTATCCTTTCTCCTCAGTTTTAGTTTCGCTCACCTGTTTTTTTTTTTTTTATTATTATTTTTATCAATTTACTCTTTTGTTTCCAGCTTCTTTCCTCTCCCTCTAATGCTGACAGAGAAGACGGATAGTTGATAGTCTAATAGCGCAGGGGACTTAAGTCAGACTTGCTTACTTTAATCAATGGAGACATGCTCTACTGAAGTGTATTACTTTTTTCTATTACCAGCAATGAATACTAGTTGAAAAAGACCATACTTAGCTCACTCTACTAGACCCCAAAGATACAATATTGATAGAAAAAGTTGAAACATCGTCTCTTACAATGCCTTATGCTGCTGCTTTACAGAGCAATCAGGAGTGCGTCATTAGCATAGCTCAATAGAAGCAGCTAACAGTGGGAGTGATTGCTGGTGAGCAGGCGGCTTCAAGTCAGACAATCAGTCTGACTGAGGAGCATTAATCGATACAATCATCACTGAAAGAAAGTGAAAAACTGGATGGAACGATAGACCAGGAGAGAATGCCTGCAGGAGAAAAATGCAGCTGAAGACAATACATGGTAACAAACAGGGACATCGGGACAGAGGACTGTAAATGTGGGCAGAATTCAGCTGAATTCCAAATCTGAAGGGAAAACGTCAAACGACATAAATGTTCAGATACACTAACCTATGAAATGGAAGCTTTTTGTGACCAATGCCTAATGTACATAGGCACTGTTTTTTTTTTTTAAAGTAGCTCTTTAACTTCAGATGGAGAGGTGTACTTGATCAAAATGACAAAATATCGGTGTCATTCTTTCGTAACTGTGCTCATGTCTCTCATCCAATCGGCATAAATCTAATAATGGAAATAAGCACCAAATATGTCTACAAATCATCAATGTCCAGCTTTTTTAGACACCATTCAAACCACTCTGAAGCAAATACCATGACAAAAACAAGCCCGAAAATAGAAACATGTGAGAAGGCTCGTGTGAAGCAGCGGTGCCTATAAAACAATATAATTGAATTAATGTATTCTGTGTTCTGAATTTATGTAAAAGATGTCTGTCTCTCAAAATATGAAAGAGGAGAAAATTCAAATAAAAAAAAATGATATCCAGTTTTCTAATTTCCATACCTGTCCAGATTTTTCAGTATTGTGAATTCAAATGAAAGCCAGCAGTCCTGCCCAAAAAAATTGGTCAAATACCCAACCAGAATTATGACTGAAGCTCATTTGTTAGCTATGGCAGAGGTGCAAGATAGAGGCTGCATGCATATATTAAAGCCTATATTTATCATTTTCATAATGTGAAACTTGTGCACCCACTGAATTCCACTGACGCTACATGGTGTAGGAACATTTCACCCGAAGAAAAATTATTGAAAAAAAATCCATTAAAGCCCCAAATTAGTAGACGATAACTGTCCACGATGAGAGCATGTAATCCTCTGACTGAAACAGTATGTCTGTATGTTTCTAACAAAGAGCTAACACCAACACTAGAAGAACATTTGAGATTAATACTTGACCTCAGAAGAAGGAGGGGTGGTCAAATCAGCGTCTAGATTATGCCTTAATTGAATCTAAGTAATATCTTTTGTTCTGCCTTTATAATTAAAAACTCAGAACTCTGTGATTAGCTCATCGGTATGAAATGAGCACATCAATTATTTAGCGACTTATTCATGGGAGAAATGATCGCCTGCAAGAGCAAAAGAGCTAAAATTCAACTTTAGACAGGGGAAAGAAGGGCGTAATGAAGGGTATATGAACAAATTGTGGAACTTTATAATAAATAGGTTCCAAAAGTAACAGCTGGACAAGGTCACTAATACAACACTGCCTCTAAATGATCATTTATACACCAAATTTCTCAAGATACAACTTTTTGCACGGGAGTTGCAATAGAAATTTCGTTGAATCCTGTTCAATGACAATAAATGCTATTCTATTCTATTCTATTCTATTCTAATAAACAAGGGTAACATTAGACCTCATGGTTCATTTTTGCACATGCAAAGAAAGAGGTTGGCGAACAATGGGACCTATAAAGATGAAATAAGGACAAAATTCATACATTTAGACCTTGAAGAGTTGCCAAAAAAACTGATCGAATCTAGTTGAAAAGACAGGAGATGACAGTGTCCTCATTAGCAGTGAGACATGTCTCATCTGTGAGGATTAATGCATAAATAATTGATTCTCCTGCAGAAAGAAAAGATGAGTCAGAGAAAAAGATTGTGACTCTGACTGTTCAGATATGTTCATCTCAGTTCTTTATCTCATGAGGTGATTTGTTTTCACGTTTTAAATTTCTCTAGGTGATCTGAATGTGCAGCAAGAAAATGACATGAATCACAGTTTTGACTTTTGTGTGGGTGATGAGGAGGATTAAACTAAGTGATTAGTCGATTGTTAGAAAGGAAGCCACCATATTTGCATCCATATGGTCAAAGACTAGTTAGCAGGTGGCAGGAACCCTTGAGGAGAATGCTTATATTTGCAATGGGTGCTGGAGAAACAAGACTTATTTGTGAACATCTGCATCATTTAGTATTTCAGCATCAGCATGTAAAGTCAAACAAAAATTTCTAAATACTGTTTTATACTTTATTCTTGACGGTATGTCTCCGTAAGTCATTTAAACTACTGAGGGGAAAGCCCAAAAGGTCAAATCTTCTGTGACAGACCAGCTCAGCATAAATGCTTCTATTGATGCAAAATAAATATGTCAAGTCCTGTTTAGGTGTTTTTGAATTCATCTAATGTAACATGATGTAAAAGTGTCAGGGTAAAGCCATCCAAGTCCAAAAACTGTACACAATATAAAGTTAAAAGACAAATCTGAAAAGCAGGAATTAAATCTCATTGGAGTTACACACCTCAGCTTTCCGCATTATCTCTTTGGTGTCTTCAATCTTCAGCTCCAGATCTAGCCTGCCCTGCTCAGTGGGAGGCAGGCCATGACTTTCACATTCTTCCAGAGACTAAGCAAAAGACATTTGCTTTAGAGGTGTGTGTTTGTGCTTTTTACATCTAAAATAAACTCGGAAGAGTTTAGTAACTTCATTTTTACAACATTTTTGCCCTTACTCGCTTGCAGTGAATAATATTCTTGTGCTCTCTGGCCACTCTGGTTGCCCATTTTCTGGCCTCTTTGTTCAGACTGTGCTCCTCGGTGGTTCCGGACTCCGACTCCAGCTGACGACTCTGGTACAGGCAGCCACACAAAGAAACAAGCATGGGTAAACACACACGCATCCAGCCACAGGCATGTAAACACAGATGAGAACAAAGTCAGGGAAAATAATTAATACTCACTGAACTTTTTCACACTCTATCATATTATAATCCCAAACATCAGTGTATTTCATTGGGATGTTATGTGTGTGCACTTGTGAAGTGGGAAGAAAATTATATACAGTTTTCAAAGTGCCTTACAATCTGAAATGTGTGGCATGCATTTCTATTTAGCCCATATTACATTATACCCACAAAGAAAGTTCAGTAAAGGACAATTATTTTGGCAAGTCAAAATAATTGAAAGCTTTAGGTGATTTTGAAAATTTGCTAATTCTTATCTTCAACATCACAATAATGTATTTCTTTGTGATGGTTGTGATGGTCTACCACAAACAAATACAGCAACTTGATCAGATGTTTCAAATGTCAAGGGATTCTGTATTTTGCACTGCAGAAGCTCAAGGCATGTGAATTATGCTGAGGCTAGTTATTAAGCTGAGGAAAATGTGAGTGTGAATGTTTCCTTCTCGAATAATTAATACACCATGTGCCGCAAAGCTTTGTTGTTATCCTCACAGATCAAATTGTTATTAAAACCACATGTGGAAGACTGACAGTGTGTGAAAAATGCAAGCGTGTGTATTTGTGTGCACAGCAACAAATGAAGAGAGCAGGAGGCGAAGAGAAACAGTCCAGTTCTGTTTATATGCTGCTTTGATCTGTTTTAAACAAATGCAGGAAAATATGTATGCTTAACTACAGCCATCTGTCTCAATGACTTACCATTGATAAAATAAGTAAAACTAAGAGCTTCTTACATTTACAAGCACATCTAAAAAAAATGTGGTATTTATGTGTGAAAAACCAAAAAGAAATGTGAAATACAAACCTCTGAAAGCAAAGAAAAAAAAAAACAAGACAATGCAAACTGATCCTTAGGATGCACAGATATTAATAACTAATCTGTGTTCATAAACCGCATAGGATGGGGTACTCATAATTTGATAATAAATATGCATCATGCTCTTGTACAGAATATTTTAACTGTGTCTTTTCATGCAAGTCATACCTATTAATTAAGTGCTGATTCAGTAACACTGGGGCATTAATCCAGCTAAGTATAGGTGTGAAGCTGAAAGTATTACACAGGAGATTTACAGCTTAATTACATCTGGGCGCTGGTGATTCGAGGGGAGTTAAGGGACCAAAGCAGATCTCTAGATTAAAAACAGTGGCAGTCAGATAAAATGCCCCGGAAAGAGGGTCAGCTAATTTGTTCCTTACCAGTGTGCTGAAATTATTGGGCTAATAACTATAAGCTTTCTGAATGCAGAAAAAAACAAAAAAACATGCTGGTGCATAATATCGTCTTAGCCTAGCTATTGAAGTTAATTTATCTTAATAATTGAAAAGTCCCTCTGACTCTAATCAGTCTAATCAATCACTCTAATTTCAAAAATAGATTTTTTTTATCCTCCTTTGAAAAACGTTTCTCAAATTAAAGGTTGGATTTTTGTGATTTTCGTTCAATGCAAGATTATGCAGCTAAGTCAAAAGAAAGTTGTTTTGAGACATTCCACACATTTGGTGGTGGAGGACACCAACTACTTTGCAGTATGATTCAATCATACTGCAAAGTAGTTGAATCATACTTGAATCATACTGCACTCCCATAAAAAGCTCAGCTGTCATAATAACACTCATTTGGATTAGTGTGTAGAAATAACAGTGGTTAAAGAGATGGCGAGGCACTCAGTTAAACAGTAGTGTGCGTTAATGGGCAGTAATGAATCTGCTGACTCAGGCTTCAATTTAAAAGCGTAAACATTCATCGAAGATTGCTGCTTGTTACATGTCATCCTCTCATTCGGACCATGTGTAGCTACAGTTTTTAATCATATTCTAAGTAAACAGCAGCCCCAAATAGAAAAACCCTAGATTGTGGTTCTGAGTATCTACACCCATTTTTGATTGGAACATTTCGAGCTCACATAGTCTTGTCCTGCTTTCCCAGAAAAAAGGGATCTGTCACCACAGCTGGTGGAGCTGCAGCACTGCCCAGACAAACATAATTTATCATAATGAACAAGACATGCATCACACTTAACTCAGGACATCATCATTTCTATAAGAGCTGTTTTAATGGATTCCTTTTAAAGCAAATGGGGCTTACGACTCCAGTATGTCTGCGGTAGAGTGAGGGTACTTTTATTCTGAGTGTTTTTTTTTGTCTCTACATTGAATAATGCTGCACTAAAACACCAACAAAGACCAGTTTTTGAACTATGTCATCCCCGTAGGAACTTGACTTTTTTGTGCTGAGCACTATATGGCAGCACAGACTGCAGCTCATGTCTTCTGTGTCTGTCTGTAACCTGTTTGAACACGCAACAAGAAATAAATGCCTCCAAAATAAGAACAAACAGTTTTGATTTTTCATTTTCACCATGCTGTTGGAGTTCAATGGAGGTTCGATACAGAGAAAGAACAGAAAGGAATACAAAAACAAAGAAATCTCCATCTTCTTAGAGACATTTTCAGCCTGCATCTTGCAAGAATATGCAAGATGTGCTGCTCCTCTGTATATTTTGTTTGACACATCTGTCAGACTTTTCTTTTCTTATTGAAATAAATATATATCAATAAATGTTACAACCTCTTTTTGTGTGAAACTGATTACAACAGCCTCACACTGTAAACACAGTAAAATGATCACAAGTTTCTGACCTGGTTGTAATCCTGAGTGCTACTAGTTTTTCTCTTGTGCTTCTAAGTAACTAATCCAAAAGGTTTGAGGCAATAAAGACCCTTTAAAGTTGGCTACACTTACACCTTACCAGTGAGCTTTGAGCAGTGGTTCCATCTAAGTTACAAAGAATAGTAGTTGCTGAGTCATAATCATCAATTACAGTTTTACTGCTTAAAATTCTGCCTTTTAAATTTTGCCATGGATGCTTTTCTGCCACTTGAAGCTGCTGAGTAGAAGCAGTGGGAATTTCCACCTGGGGTTTGCCGACATCGAGGACTTCACATTGAAAATGCTTTGAAACCTACGATAAATTAAAATTTATCGTAGAGTAGATTGAAATAGGGTAAATCGAAGTTTCTGAAAAATGAGTGTCAGCACATACGTCCAGGGTTTCATAAGTGGAACTGGTTTCAAGATACTAAATGTCCTTAAGACTACAAACAGCATAATGACAAAGAGGAAAGGGAAGAAAACAATGGCTTTAACACAACTTCATAATTCTCCAACACAGTGCAGGCTTACACAATAAAAAAATAATGCTTCTAAAGTAATTCCATACAAAAATCTTTTACATGGCAACACTAACAGTTCTATCTGTGTTGAAACTTGCAAGATAAGCTACAACACCATCCTTTTTTTCATTCATAGCAAATTAATTTAATTTAATAATTACCTAAGCAGTCAAAATCTGTGCCCAGGAGGAAAATCACTTGAGGCAACAAACTAAGCTTTCAGTAAAGTTTTAGTTAACTACTACATGTTGAATACTTGTTCAAGTACATACAGACCACAGTAGTAAGATATAATGACAGTGGTATGGATGGTTTGTGTCAGGAATGAGGATGGGAATGCTAGCAGCTGATAAAACTACCTGTGCCAGGGTCATTCTCATGGCACTGACGGGCGACGGCTCAATGTCCACCAGCTGCTGCACCGAGCTCAGAGTCTGCAGCACGCTCCCACAAAGAGGCACACACATGGACAGGAGGCATCCATACACGCACACACACAAGAGCAGCAGCAGTGAAAGCACACAGAGTCAGGGAGGGATTAATCAGGAAGAAAATAGATCAGGGTACAAGTGTTAGAAAATGTTGAAAAACTGGGAAATACATGGCAGGATTAGAACATTGTTATGCAGAAATACAGCTGCTTGACAAAATGTTCATACCTGTTGAACTTGTTAGCTTTTTTTTAATATTACAACCACAAGCATAAATGTTTTTTTATTGGAATTTTATTTGATTGATTAAAGTGGCCCGTAATTAAGTAGAAGAAGGAAAATGATGTATGACTTAAGGGCAAATGGCATTGCTGGAATAAACTTTGGTAGAGGCTGTAAAAGACTTAAGCCTGGGACAAAAATTCAGCTTCCAACAGGAGCAAAGCCAAAAACATGCAGTCAGAGGTACAATGCATTGGTTCAGATCAAAGCATATTCATGTGTTTGAGTTCCCCAGTCAAAATCTGGACTGCATCTCAATAGGGAATTTGCACCAAGATTTGTAAACTCATCTTCACAGATGTGCTTTTGCAACGAGAAATGGGTGATAATTTTAGTCTCCAGATGTCCAAAGTTGGCAAAGCCACAACCAACAACAACAACAAAAAAATCAGAGGTCAGTTTGCATTTTAAGGCTTTCTCATCAAAGTATTTAAGGGGGATGATTACAATCTCAAACCACAAACTTGAAATGTTTATTTTAAGTAACATATGTCATTTTTCTTCTACTTCCCAATTACACACTTTACTGTTGAACCATCACACAAAATTCTAATAAAATACAATAAAGTTTGTGGTCGTAATGGTAAAAAATGTAAAACAAAAATGCCAGGAGTTATAAATAATTTGGGATGGTAGTGAAGAAAGAGTTTACACAAAGACTAAAAAAACAGTCAGAAGAGGCACGAAAAGTAGATGAGAAACAAGGGAGCACAAAGTGACTCATACAGAAGAGAAATGGACTTTGGAACTGTACCACAGTGGAATTAGGAACTTTGTCCACAGAAACATTTTTCATTGTAGCCATAAAATACATAACAAGATCCCAAAGGAGTGAAACAGCACAGCTCTGGATGATTTATTCACAAAGCCTCTGATTATTGTACAAAATTCTTAAACATTTTTAACACCCAACAAGCAGTTGAATTTAAAAGATTTTTAGCATAAATATATGTAAGAAAAAGATTAAAGAACAAATAAGATAAGCTCCCAGTGGACAAACAGTATTTAATATTAAACTTAGAACAAAGAGGCGATTCATGTTTTCATCCAGTTGTCACCAAACACAATTTAGTATAAAAGAGTGCACAAGTGAGACTGATCAGAGTTGCTTCTCAGTCTCTTTTGTATTAATGCAGTTCTCCATGATCATCAGTGTACAGAAAAAAATGTGATACTGCAGATCAGATATGCCACATCTGGCAAATGAGGAAGCTGATGTCATGTCAAGCGTCTGAGAGGGAGTCACAATTTGTTGTTTTACACAATATAGAGTTACTGTCCTGCTGCAAACTGGTTCATAAACAAACAATAAAAGAGCATCGCTTAATGTGTACAGGTATTAATGCATCATCAGTGCGTACAGCTTTGGGACTCTCACCATGTCGTATTCGCTGGCCTGGAACTGGAAGTCGTGCGCCTTATGAAACACAGGGTTTTCTTGCATGAACAACTGCTGGTTGAACTCCTGTATTATCTGAGAAAGAAACAAGAGCAGACTATTAATGCTTTCATTTTGACTGTGCTGCAGTCGAATGGAACTTCAGGAACTCTAAACTAACTCCAGCTGCTGATTTCTGGGGAGAGAGGAAACACCACACCTTTTTATTCAAGATCACACAAGGTAAGTGCTTCAAAATTATACTTCAAGTCTGAGCTGGACGTTTTTGACCATCACCTCAGTGGCATTCAACAAATGGAGCATCTGTTGGATTTTATGCAAAAGGTTTTGAATGTAGATGTCAAAGCTTTTTATAAGCTTTTCATTTCTGTTTGATTAGTAAAGAAAGCATCCAGATAAGACTTCTTACTATTTGCAAGACTTTTTTCCACTTGTTCTTATCTTAATATTTGTGCATATATTATTAATATTAGTGTATAAATAGCCAGCATGCACAGTTAGGGAGAACATTTCTGGAAAAGGTTTTTTAGGAGGTAAATTTTCAGAGAAAAAAATGGTGTTTTGTGTGAAAGAAAGGCTCAACAAACAACAAGATATGTGTTTTCAAAAATAATATTACCTGTGTGAGCAAGACTACTGAGTTTGACTCCTTAAACCATGTGACTGTAACACGAGTAGTTTCTCGTTTGTCCTTTAAATACTGAGAACTCTGGAAGTTGGTTTTGCAGGTGGGGACACATCATTGAGCTAATACTGTGACAAATAATAATGGAAAGCTTTGGATGCCAAATCACTACATATGCCTCTAGGTTGTCTTTGGATATCTGTTGGACGCATTTAAATTGGAGACCAAAGTAGGAACATTTTGGTCTCCAACACACAAAACACACACAGTGCAGTGTTTTGCTTTCACACTGTATTCTGTCAAATCAACAAAACTCTTTGAAAAACCTGTTCAAAGGTTTGGTGGTGCTGCATCAAGAACCCCTGAAGGAAACAACATGAAACCTCTGAAAAAGACATGAGTACAATTTCCTTCTTCACAAAACGTAAACAAAACGGAGTGGCGTCAGATTTTAGCTGTAGTGGGATTTCTCTTTTCTCTTTCATCGTACCTCTCGTGCAAGATTATCGCTTTTGTTTGGATGCATTTACCCAGAATGCCCTGTGCCGTAGTCCGGTTTTGTATTTTATTGCCTTTTATAGCGAATTTCTGGTCTGCTTGCATCCTCATATGCATTCAAACCGTGCCGAATCCACTTCATCCGAACCAATACCTAGATTTTTAGATGGCCCAGATTTGCTTTTTTTTCTCCTGCATCTAAGTTCAATTGTACATTCACCTCCTCAAACAAATCGTACCTTCTAGGCAAGTGATTAAAGCCAACTAAACTGAATGCACCCTTTAAGTAATTCCACTGCGAAATTATTTTTAGGAGGAAAATCCTCCATTTGCCAAATTAGGCAGAAAAGGTTGCAAATCTACTATAAAGACCACCTTAGTGGGAAGGTAAAACGTTTTTAGATAGACTATGAACCAAGTAGGGTAAACATTTTTTATTTGTTGAAAATTTGCAGCAGCCATCACCCAGTTTATCCTCCTCTGCAGTTCCTATGTTGAGTGAACATCACGAGGCAGAAGGTGATGTTTGAAAACATCACATTTAAATCCAACCACTCCTACTGAATTTCACAGACATTTACAGAGTTTGCATTCAAATAAACTGATAAAAGATTTTATAAACCACGACCCTTTTAATCTCCGTTCCTTCATCCTAAAATGAACTTCTAAACTAATTTGACTCACCCTGGAAGATTTTTCTAAGAGGAACTGGAAGGTGCTGTGAGTGGCCTGCGAGGCCTCCAGCTCAGTGCGGCACAAAGCCACCAGGTAGTCCTTCACATGCTCATAGATTCTCCCATCCAAGGCCTGGAGGACAGACAAAGAAAAATATAACAGGGTTACACTGAGAAGAGTGTTAGTTGAGTATAATTTCACAATATTTTGTATCACATACTTAGCAATGAAAAGTAAGTATTGTTTCTTTGTGATAACAATGCTTTTTGGCAGTTAACCGTGTACCCTCGAAAAGCCTGTTTATTTTCTTGTGTTGCATTTGAAAGAAAGAAGACTATAAGTAAGAAAGAAAACGAAGCAGCTGTTTTCACTCATTGTTTTGGTTCAACCAAACAAGTAGAAGTTTGGATGAACCGGCAGGAGGACATTTTAATGAGGTATGAGGCGCAAGTGATCAGCCAAGAAGAAGGCCACACTGCCAAATACACAAATCAGCCAGTGGGAAAAAGAAAAGACTGAAGCTTATGGAGAGAAGAGGGGAGCAACTGAGGAGGCATTAACAGCATTATTTGGTGAGAGAAAACAAAATGAAGAGTGAAATAGTTTTTCTAGGAGATGTGTGGTGTTCACACAGCTGCAGAGGAAGGTAAGAGAGTTCAACAACAGAATGACCACACACTAACTCACACTTCAGCTTTCAAATATTCTGGCACAAATAAACGAATCTGGCCAAATGTCTTGCCAAATTCCATCAGACGCCTGAGTCTTCAAAGAAAAATACAAAAATATTTGATTTGACCTGTTTGAAATTATGATGTCCAAACTATTTAATTTTCCCTTTTATTTCACTTGGTGTTTCTGATATCCTTACAGAGCACTCTGGGAAGTTGCTGTACAAAATTAAAAGCACCCACATGTTTTCACACACATGCACACACACCACAGCGTCATAAAACAATAGGATATTGACAAGGAAATTATGTCATCAAGGGTGGGCAGTTGGCTGACTTCACTCTGCTTGTTCCCGCATCAGTCTGGCCATTTCCTTCTTGCCCTTTCTTCCTGTCCTCCCCTCCTCTTTTTAGCCATTTATGGTAGTGCTGAAACAAATTGAGTCAGCTTCCAGAAAAAGCTCAGACCCGGCACAGCTGCCAGTTGGACGGTGTGTGTGTGTTTTTAGGCGAGTGACTGCATTGGCCCGAACAAAGCAGAGCACACAGGAGAGCAGAGGTGCAAAAAGTAACTATTGGCACCAGCTTCGACCAGGAGATGGAGACGTGGAGCTGCTCCTGACCTCTTACTACAGCTGTTGCATCAACAAGGACAACAGTGTTTATATTTATGCTGCAGCCAGATGCCACAACAGTCACTCAGGAGAATATTTAAATCTAAACAATTTAAAAAAAAAAACTATGCTGGTTTTCTCATATGTCTTGTACCTAAAACACTTGTTTTTAGTCATATGTGAAATAAATTGATAGTTTATGTAGTTTTGTTTTGTTGAAGAAACCATTTCAGCTTTAAGAGATTTTTGTTCTAATTAAGTCAATAACAACCTCCCTCTCTCATGATATAGTGCCTTGCAAAAGTGGTGATTTAAAATAAAAATGTAGTTCATAAAAAAATAGTAGCAGACCGTGTTATAGGGGTTTTGTCCTGTTGGAAGGTAAACCTCGGCTTCAGTTTCAAATATTTTGTAGCTTTAAACAGTTTTTTTTGTTTGTTTTTTTTTCCAGGATGGGACAGTATAGAGGACATTGTTTTGTTCAATAATGTTCTCTAATAAACCTGAGAATGTTCAAAAAACATTTTGATTTTATGCTGATGCAAAATTATACGAGACTAAATGGGGCTGAATACAAAAGCAAAGAATTGTTACATTTTTATTTTAAACAATTTGAAAAACAGGCATCATTTTTCTTTTACATATTTATGTTGGTCTATCATAAAATTCCACTAAAACACAGTGAAGTTAGTGGTTGTAATGTGACAAGATACACAAAACTCTGCAAGCCACTGCAAAAGTTCAAGAATCTAAAAGCATATGCTGTCAGGCTTTACTGCACAAAGTAATAAAAGAAAGCTGAGGTAATGGCTATGTCAGTTTGGTACCATTTTTCAAAATTACATTTATTACAGAATTCCATGTGACATTGTCTGACCTCCACAACTAAAAGAAGAAAACTAAGCAGAGAATAGGAACAGCTTTCTTCCTCCAAGCAGTGTCCCCCTATTCTCATATATTTGTGTACATCCATACTTCCCTGCAGTTCTGTCCTTCTGTTGCAGTGAACTGAGGATCTATTATTTAGGGAGGCCTCCAAGTGGAGATGCTCACACTGTACATGCCTGAGGGCCAGTGTGTCAGAGACAAACTTAAGCAAGGCTGAAAGCTAGAAATAGGTTCTCAGAAATGTTCAGTTATTTCTCGAGTCACTTTATTAGTCATGTAAATTGAATGTTTGTTCAGAAACGAGCAGGAAGAAAATGTCTCAGTGAGTGTAACTGGTTTAAAGGACCTAAATTCACTACTAAGAGTTCAATTAACTACTCGTTAATAAACTACCAAAACCTAAGATTATGGGTTAGTCGTTTTTCTTTTTGTATTTTTTTGCAGTTATGCTCACATGAACATTCTCATTTTTAACCAACCATTGCTGTAACAATAGTGGGAATCAAAATCCCTTACACAGCTTCTTTTTTATTTATTTATTTATTTTCTACTCAGATATGAATTTCAAATCATAACACCCTGGAAGACTGCAACTCTCTTTAGAGCCTCAAAAACAGTGATATCATCACTTTTTTAGGCACATGTTTTTTCCTTTCAGCATATTTTCTTCATATTGGTTTCTGGCATTTTGCAGATGTACATTGAAGATGCTTTCCTAAAAAAATAACAATGTCCAATTTGAGCTTGGAACCTGGAAAGGTTTCCTCTCTGCTGAATAGAGTGTAAGCCAAATGTCTGCTTACATTTTGCTTACATTTAACCCAAATGTAAGCCTAAAGTCAGCAGTAGAAATGTTGATATAGCAAAACAAACTTGACTCTTTTGTTGTTGGATTTATTTTCATTTGGATTTTTCTTACTCCACTCATCAGTCTATGGATAGGTATTATTTCGATTATATCACTCAGTTTTGTGCCTAAAAACAAATCTATTTAGGTCAAAAAACCTTGTTGAACAAATCTTTACCTACTTGTATAATTTTATCAACTTTTAGTTTAAAAAAAAAACATCACACTCAAACATGCACACTCTCCATTTCAAAATGTTTGGTCAGACTCAAGCAATCATATTAATTGAAATGGTTAATAACTTCATCTTTAGGTATGTACCTGTATGCAGTGCAGCAGGTCTGTGTGATAGTAGCGGTCATGATGGGCGTTTGCAGCAGCTAGCGTTAGCAGGTAGTCATTCCTGGCCTGTGTCGCTTTGGAGTTACAATCACTTCTCTTTGCTTTCAACTGCAGTTAAAAAAAAGAATGTTACAAATTTTTGTGATTTGCTTTTTTTGTTGTTGTTGTTGCACTAAAATGTTTTAAATCCCCAAACAAACTTCAATATTTGCTGAACAGAAATAGCTATGAAAACCAACCTGCAGAGTGTGAAAGCAACTTCTGCCGACACACCAGTGCTATTAATGTTCGCAGTAACTTAACATAGCTCAAGAGGAATTTTGACCAACTCTTCTTTGCTGAATCATTTTAATTATTAATATTTAATTTTAATTTAGCAACATTGGAGAGTTTTCAGTCAGAAATATTTGAATGTAAATTTTTTGTTTCACAAAGAAGCAAAGTTAGATATGATAAGATATCTAAGGTATTAAATCATGTCTGTCTCAAGTGGGTGGGGCATTGGGGAAAGGCAATAACTTTCATAGTGAGACCCTCTTACCTTTACACTTGCCTTCTGTAAACTAATTCTTGATTGAAAAAGTCCAAGTTTGGACCTGAAAGAACAAAATAAGACAGATAAGAAGAACATATTTTTCTACACATTAATATTGTATATTAACGGTGAAATATAGAGACTTCTGTGATAAAATCATTGAGTATTTAGGTTTTTATCCATCTGTTTCCACCTTTTATAATGTCAGTCCTACACTTTCATCTGATCTTTGCACTTTGAAGTATAAAGATTGTGCCTGTGAAATTCCAGTTTCTCATCATCACCCTTTCTTAAAAGCGTTTCCGTTGCCTCTGGCTTTCTACTATGTAATAAAGAACAGATCATCCAATCGATGCGAGCGCTAGCCAGAGCTGAGAACTCAGTGAAGTGAAAATGTCACCATAGCTACTGCTACCAAGAAGTGGCAGAAAAGCAACACTCATCAGCACCAAGTCAAAATCTGGAACTAATTGTGAGATGGCAAAGCCTCAGATGCTATTCTGCTCAGTTGGCTTTGCAATAAAAAATCCTGTTAGGCTCAAAAGGCAAGAAAAATAAAAGATATGTGCATCATACACTGTGAGTCATCCTTGATTTTTTTTTTTTTTTTTTTACAGAAGCTCTCCTGATACTCCTGTTTTGTATGCAGCGCCTTCCTAAACTTACTTGGCCTCTATGTCGGCTTTTTCTCGTACGGCGTGCGCAACCTGCTCGCAGTCATAGTATTTCTTCTTGGCTTTCGCCAACTCCTTCACCGACTCCTGCAGCTCTGCCTGAATGCCACTCAACTGATCAATGGTCTGTGAGGAACAAGCAGAGAGAAAGTTGAGCTGCCAAAGAAAGAGCTTAATCATTATAATCATTATGATTAAGCTCTTTCTTAATCATGTTAAGAAAAAGCTTAATACGATTTAAGAGTAAAGGAGAACAAAGTTTGACTCGCACTTCTACACATTGACTCACCTTCTTGAGCTGCTGTTCCTTATAGAGCCTAACGGTCTTGGCAGGTTCTGATATTTGACTCTTGTAGTTGTCACATACATTCAGTCTCGACTGGCTCACCTGAACAGTTCCCTCCAAGTAGGCTCTCCAAACAGCATACACATTCCTGGTTGGAGAAATAAAACAGAGTGTACACTTCCAAGAGCCTTTTACATTAGGAGGATCTGATTTGGCACAATGTGAAGGTTTGGTATCGTAAACTACGTAAAATATTTTTGAGATAATTCAGATGTTACTCAAAAAACTGAGTTGTATATATTTTGTTGTTTTTCTGTGCTGTGTTGGAGACCTGACAGGTATGTTCATCTAACAGAGCTTAGATTAGGTTTTCAGCTGAACAGAGAAGATGAATGAGCAGCTATTTTCAAAGTAAATTGTAGGACATACGAATGTATTTTCTGCTTTTGACACAGTAAAGATCTAAGTATTTTTGTCAGAGATTTGATTTTAGCTCTATTTTAGATCAAAATTTGGCATCATTCAGATATTGTAAAATTGTCTAAATAACTCAGTTTAACGTGAGTAAAAGAAAAGGATACTCTGTGCTTATGTGAATCCAGTTTCTTGTATGGAACAAAATACAGGCAAACCCACCTATAATCTGTTCTCTGGTCATCGGGGCTGATTCCAGGCCAGTCTCTCTTTAGGTACTGACTTGCTAATTTCTGCAGAGCCTGAAAGCACAAGCACAACAAGAAGGAACTTCATAAAAAGCAGGATAACATAATACCTTTCTAATAATTCAGAGAGAAGATTACACTTGATGCAATTACAAATACAAGTAATGAAATTAAGTGATACAGAGCAGTCAATGATGTATATAAAAAAAGGTCAGGTCTCAAGTTTGCTCATGGAGAGGTAGGTCTATTTTCAGCTGATGAACTAAAATGCAGATTTGAAAAAAAAAAAAAAAAAAAAAATATATATATATATATATATATATATATATATATATATATATATATATATATATATATATATATATATATATATATACTGTCTAATAATGTATAAAGCATATAATAATATAATAATATAGAATAATATATAATATAGAGGCTATCCAAGTGAGGACATACTGAATCCAATATGTTTGGAGACATAGGCTAGATTACAAAACATCTGGCTGACAACCACTTACATCTGACATGTGAGAAACACGACAACACAAATTAAAATGACCTTTTTTTCCCTGAAACAGGTAGTGTATATACCTTAAATACATTGTATTTGGCAATGTTTACACAAGCAAATAAAAAAAAGTGCTTTTCTTCAACAATAGTTTTTATGATGACTTTAGTGATAGACATTAGCTTAACCTACTGATGGCAGGCTGAGTTGATAATAATGGAATGAGGTGAATATTGACCTCCTTGACAAACTCATTACCATGTCAGACACAAAAAAAATACTGTTGGCCGTTTAAACTCATCTCAACCTAACTCTGACTAGATCAACTAAACAGAATGGATGGAGTAAGCTGAATATTTCTGCTTCAGATTTAAAGTGTTTTTTTGTTTTTTTTAATTAAATGGTGCACTGGGTCAAATCTGTGTCAGCACAACTGAACCTATCATAAGCACCTGTCTGTGCGAGCAGAAACTTTATGGCAGGAAGAGAGGCAAGCTCACATCTTGCAGACTGGGTCAGTGTGTCAGCACAGTGACATAGACACACTGCACTTGCATCTCTGTGTGTATCTGTATGTGGCTGTGCAAAACACTCATTCATAAAGAAGTCATTAACTAACTGGGAAGAGCAAAGCCCAACAACCCAAACCAGGCAAAGGCAGCCTAAGAGAGAAGTTACACCCCAACAGACATGCTCCATTCTTCAGATTTGCATGTAAATCAGGTCTCAGTTCTCATTTAGAAATAGACCCCCCTCTTTCTCAGTAGTTATTTTATGGTCTGTCTGAACAATGATGTTTCTCAAAGGCAAATTTATCAGGTGGTATACTGGGGCTCCCTTCCTCCACATTATCTGTGCAAAATTGCTTTCTGGGTATTGTCCCTCTTCTCTCTTTCGCTGTGAAACAATGATTAGGGTTTCTGTAGCAACACATATTTCAAATCTTCACCTTTTATGTCTTGGCACTTAGATTTTTTGCTACGAGTACTTGTAGCAAATTAAATTTAAAAATTTAAATATTTAAAACATGAAACAGAACAACAACTTCAACTGTCAGTGTCAGACTGCATCTTGAACTGTGGACTGCGCTTTAATGATGACTCCTTTTAGATAGAAAACGTCTTGCCTTAGAGTTTGCTTTGACAAGCAACACAGAGGTGATCAGTGCCAAAGAGAAGTGTTACACAAACAGAATTAAGACACGTACAAAACAAAATCCCATTGCACAAAAACTGCTCTGTCCTGTGCATGAGGAAACATGTTTGCTTTAAGAATAGTCACCCTTTCTTCCTCTCTGACCGTGAAGGGAAGGGTGGAGTGGGTGGGAACAGTGGTGATGAAAGTTTCACAGACTGTGAGTAAGTTTGTTAAAGTGAGTCTGAAGAACTAGAAAATTTTAAGTCCTTCCGTCTCGATGGACATGTATTTGAATGAGTTATACCAATGTACGAATAGAAGCATATCCAAGAAGTGCTGGAAAATTATGTTCACCCCTAATACCTTTTCAAACACACATCCAGGCCTGATCAATGTCAGACCTGTAGACTTGAGAATCAATTTCTTTTTTTTTCTCGATACTGTGAGAAGAAATCCAAATGAAGCACAGAAGAGAAAAGAATCAGGCCACAGGAAAGTCTCTGCAATGTATTGCACATTTTTAAAAGTATGTCCACAAGCCAAAACGTCACAAAGCAGTAGCATTGTGGTCTCCGTTTACTTCTTTGTCAGACTCAGTCACTGACCTCCTCTGTGTGCCATCTCAGAATCTCTTTGTAGCCAGCAGGCACCGTAAGTCCTATGGTGACAGACTTGTTATCTACTGTAAGTGAGAGCAAAGAGTGAAAATCTGGCCAAAGACAGACTGCTGACAGCCTGAACGTTTAATAACTTAGTGCTTGTTCATTCTCCCACATCTGCCTCTCATTTGCTATGTCTCCTTTCATTTTCAGTCTCTTTCTATAAGACTTCCTCATATCTTTTATATTTTTTTTATCCAGATGGCCATTTTTCTTAGCTCTACTTTCTCACGCACTTTTTAAAAATGCTTTTTTCGCTTTCTTTCATCCTCCTTTTCTCTGTCATCACCTGACAGCCACTTGAATGGCATGTTCTTATGGCAACACCTCAGTCCTTCCTATGCGTCCAAGCTGAGGTACAAACAACTCTTTTTTTTTTTCTTTCTTTTTTTAATAAACTCAGAGTTAAACAATGTTACAAAGTTACAGCACATCCTGTTTTGTGGTCACGGTGGTAAACATGGTGCTCTGACAGCAGGATGTCCGGACTGGACAAGTGTGTGTGCGTGTGTGTGTGTGTGTGTGTGTGTGTGTGTGTGTGTGTGTGTGTGTGTGTGTGTGTGTGTGTGTGTGTGTGTGTGTGTGTGTGTGTGTGTGCGTGCGTGCGTGCGTGCGTGCATGTGTGTGTGTGTGTGTGTGTTGTGTGTGCCAAAGAGAGAAGTTGATGGATAAAGGAAAAGAAAACAAAAGAGGAGTTTGAGGTTGATCATAAAATATTATGAGCAGTTACATCCTGTAATAATTGTAATTTTTCTTTACACATAAAACTTTTTTATTCCAAATTTTTCACAGCTACTTAATTGCTGGCTTTCGTTCAGTACTGCAAGGGGGAGGCTACAACGACTGTTGCTGGTAGTAGGGTGACATTAGGTTACTCGCAAAACATACAAAAAAATTTTTTAGCTTTTCCCCCCTTTTTATTTTACATACATGGAAAATGAATCTTATAGGGGGAAGTAGGCACTTTTATCTATTTCTATATGGGAGTTTCAAATATTGGGAATGGCATTAACTTTGATGAGATTTGTTTAAGTCATTTTTAAATAAATTTTGTCAATTGTTTTACTTGGGCACAAAAAATTCTGTCTTACAGATTTCCATAAAAATATGCATTAACAATAGAAACTTTTGCAACTAAAAGCCTGTTTATGAGTAAATAAAAGATAAGAAAAATCAGCCGGTGTGTGAATGGCTTCACCAAGTACAAAATACCAAAATTCTCTTGTCTCCTATAGGAGTCGCATATTAGCTGGAAAAGTTTATAAAATTATCTAGTTAATTTGATAAATAACATTATTAACTTCATCCTGACAATAATGAACACAGCCTGAGGAATTGTCTGAGGTTTACTTAGTTACACACCAGCCAAAAACAATCTGTAGAAATGCTGGAGGGAAACAAATTTTTGTTGAGGTGTGAACAAAATACAGTAAATAAAATTTTCCAAAATACATTAAATGGGTCATTTTTTACAGTGTGTATTAAACAAAGTAGAAGCTATGTCAAAAAGAATAAAATTCTTTAAAACAACATCTTTTCCAGGAACACACTAAACTTGAGAGCTTTTTTTTTCTCTCCACATAAGTGGATAAAAAAGAAAACAGTCTTCTAGATTGAAATAGATTACGCTATTGCTGAAGCATTCAGTTTTACTCTGTGCAGTTTACATAATTAGTGAAAAAGTTTTTGTTGCTTTTTTTATTTCCCATTTGGCTAATGAACAATCTCAAGTCACCTTGATACTTCTACATTGTGTTTGCTCTCACTGCTCCGCTCACTGCGCTCTGTCTCAGTCCCTACCTGGCGTCTCTGATTTCTACCTGATATTAGTGTGGCTTTCTGTTCCACCATTTCACTTCCTCAACTTCCTCTTCAATCAACAAACTTGATTTTCTTCCTGTCTGCACTTTTCTGCTCCTGCAGCCGTGTGTTGGTTTCGTTCGACCCTGACCTCTTCATCTGCTGATTAAGAGCTGAAGTAAAGTCACTGTTGATGGAGGAGAGTGTGAATGGAAAAGGACTCACACAGAGTGAGAGATGGGAGATGATTAGTTTAGGAAAAGACGGCACTCTCAGGCTTTATGGCGGGTATTTCTAGAGAAGGGTATGAGTTCATAAAGCTGCAACAACGCTACAATTTAAAAAATAAAAAAATTTATATAAATAAATATGAAGTTAGCTTTTTGCATGTGTTTACCGGGGTGACATTTAACATTTTTTAACTGTTAATGTTATTTATTTATTAATATTGCTAGAGAAACAAAATCTCAGCTCAGTACAAACTGTGATGAACTATATATTAAAAAAACAGAGAAAAGATAAAAATGGATAATTGTGGGGGTTTTTTTGTGTTTCTTTTTTTTTTTTGCTGCAAATGCATTGTTTACTACAAAGGGATAGTGTATACTAGAAGAATAAAATAATAAAATATTTTTGTTATTTAAATAATTAATTGAATGACTTGTTTGTTTACAAGTTCTTTTGCATTTCTGATAGTGCATAAATTAAGTTAAACCGAATAAGTTAAAAATCGGAAGAATATGACCACTCTTTTTCATCCAGTTAATCGATTAATAGGTCAGAATAGAATAATAATAAAATAATCAGTTACTCAAACAATTGTGAGTTGCAACCCTAATTATGATATGTTAAACAATAATAACCAGCAAAAGTCGATAATGATAGTGTTCAAATATATAGATTTGATATATAGATTCTTATTGCAAAAGTGGACAAAACAGGCCAATTTTCTTTCTGCAAATGGGCTGAAATTAAACTTTTTAATAAAATGACAACAACCCATCCATCTATCCAAGTTTTATACCCACTCAACAGCAGGGGAAGGGAGAAAGCACACACTGATCAAACTATGCAAGACGGCATAATTTCAAAATTATGCCGTCTGGATGTTTGCATTAACTTTAACTATAAAGAACATGTGCAGAGCAAGTGAGAGAAAAGATACAGAAAAGGTAGAAGAGATGCCAAAAATTATAACACTTATATAGGACAAAAATATAGAAAGTTACAGAAAAAAAAAAAGAAAAACTGTTTTCCTGGAAAACATTCACTATAAATAAGCATTCCACTTCTTACCATGCATAAAAACCTTGCAGACCTTACATAACTCAACTCCCCCATCATATTAATTCTGATCTATGTCACGGCGTGTCTGCAGAGGAACGGAGTAACAGAGCAGCAGCCACAGAAAGCGGGCCGCTGCTCTGTGTTGGGCTGAACAGTGATGTGTGACCTCAGCTTGAAACTATTCCTGTAATGTCGATGTTGTAGGAGGGGAAACACGAGACAAGCAGCTAACTCTTACATGCAAAACACACACACACACACAAACACACACAGGACATGGATCCCTTAATTAGCTGCTGGTAATTGCAGTCGACTCTCTCACAGGGAGACGCCTGCTTTGACAAACTTAAGGGAGAGGTTAAATGATCACGTCGTCACTTTTGTGGTCCTGTTATCTTGATTGAACATGTCATGCTTTCATCTTTTTAAGCATCTTTAAATTCCTCTAAATGTTTTCCCCCTTCTTCACTGGAATGTGTCTGTGGGAAAAAGCAACAAAAGGCAAAAGATACGCTTGGAGCAAAAGTACAATTTCTGATGACAGGAGAGGGTAAATCAGCCTATTTATTTTAAGGATTTCCTTCATAAAATCTTTTTGGTTTCTTAAAGTCCATTGTTCTCAGACATTCCCACACAAATACACACCTACAATTAGCAGGACCTCTATTGTCCTACTGATTAGAGGGCTTGTTGCTAGGCAGCCTCCATCCCTAAGGTGGAGCAGACAGTGCTGAAGAAGAGCATCCCGAGGCGGGTGATGGGCAAGGCAATGTGGGAGATAATGAGCGTCTGAATTCTGTCAGTGTGACCACAGGAAGCCAAATCATTCAAGAACCATGCAAATGAGAACACACACAACACACACACACACCCATGCACAAGAGTATTCTGCCCTTACAGTGCTCCTTTCTGCCACCCCCTTTATTTGTGTCTGTAATGAAACTGGTGATAAAAAAAATATAATAATTATAATAATTTTGTCACATTACAGCCAGATAATGTTGCGGTTTCACTTATTACACCAAGATACAGTGGTGCATAACTGGCAAGTGGAAGACTTACCAGTTATATGTTGCCAGTTACAAGTTTTTAAATTAAAAAATAGATAAGGTGTGGTTTTTCATTTTGTATTCAACTTCCTTCACTGTGGTTGCCAAAAATAAAACCAATCATTTTCAGAAGTCACCCAATTAACTTCAGAAATCCACATCTTTAGTTGAGAAACTTGTTTTCATTATATATCTGACTTATGGGAGAGAAGTGAGAAATCCATTGTTGAAATAAAGTCATAAGAAGGCTGGTAGAAAATTCTCTGGTCAAATTGACTGCACATAAACACTTTGGTGTATATACAAAATTATATGTGAATGGAAAATTAACAACCTAAACATACAATCTTCACAGAGAAGTATATTTGAGGCAGCGTGATACTGTGAGGATGCTTTTCTTCAAAATGGGACCAGAAAGCTAGTGAGAGTTTATGAAGCTAAACACAGGGAAAACCTACTAGGGGTGGACAAAAGACCTGAAATTGGGACGAAGGTTTTCCTTCTACCAAAACAGCAATCTAAACATGGAAATCCTTTAACCGGTTACGTGTTGGGCGCCAACATTGAGCCTACAAGCAGCAAAATAAGTAAGAAACAGATGAGTTGTCTTTGGAAAGTTTGGAAAGTTCAGGGCTCCCATTAGTCGTTATCGTGAGTTAAAATTTTCACAAAAGTAAAATGTTCGCTTTGTGGCACATCTGTATCTTATTTTGAAGGGATATGTAAACGTTACCATAGCAGAGTAAGAGAGCGTTGGACAGTGGTCGAGATGAAATGAGAGGAGTGGAGTTTGTGAGTTTTAGTTCTGGTTCACACGCCGCGATTACAGGATTGTTGGCCGATTTTCCAAACTTCTGTGACCACAGAGCCAATAAAAGTTCAACAGGTTCGATTGGTTCCTGTATCCAGCGACACTGCAGGAGCAACACACCACACACGAACCGATTCCACTCATGAACATCCCGATTCCAGAAGAAAATCCAGTAAAACCCCCAACATACCATACGCATATAAAAATGACCTTTACATATAATAATAATAAACATTTTTACAAAATAGTGGGTGTGCGCCCATAAATCCGCCCCATCTTCCATAATTTTGGAAGATCGTGATCGGCCAGTACTTCCTCATCCACTGATCTTATCGGCCAAAATCGGGATCAGCAGATCGGGCTTTGAATAGATTGGTAATGTGTGGTCATCTAGAAAACTGCAATCGGAGCACCCCTACAAAATAGCAATATCTTCCGATAGTAATGATATGGTGCTAAACATAATCTGACAAGTGATGGTCACAGCCCACATGATTTATTAACAGCAATAGGTGTTTCTACTGAAGAGGAGTCCTGCCAGTCTTACCTGTGCATAGTCCCTCTCCAGCTGTCCTTTCTTCAAACTGTAGCTCCTGCAGACAGAAAGACAGATTTTTTAAGCAACTGGCTACAAACAAATGAACAAAAACTGAAAGCCAATTGGGTGAATGCTGAAACACTCATTTCCCACCATAGCTTTAAAAACCTTAATGTGCAGAAACATTGGTCTCAAGAAAGAAATTACTAGTGTATTTTCACAACTTCAAACATTTCAACATAATGTTTTAAGCAGATCTGAACACATTGTTCTAAAAATAACTACAACATCTCTGACCCACAAAAAGAAAAGCACTAACCCCTGCTCTCATGCCCTCCCTGTTACAAACAACATCCTGGGATCAGAGACGATGGACGCCCTTATCAAAGCTCAGGAATGTTCACCATGAGAAGCACAACATTTCAGTGTGATTGCACATAAAGATAAAAATAACAGTTAACTATTTCTGTATAAAAAGAGCAGATTAACTGCTAAAACCATTCCTCTGCACACTAACAAAAATATCCCTTTTCAAATGAATTATAGCTGCCACTCAGCCCCAGTGCATTAAAAAAAAAAGGATTTGAAAGTCTCATCACATTTGTTTCACATGGCTTCCTGAAGTATGTGCAGCATATCTCATGATTCTCATCAGTGTGTTCAATCATCTTCTCAGCCTAGAGTTTTCCTGACTTGCTGATGCAAAGTCAGAGCAAGAGTCTTTTTCCAAACCTGTTGATCTGTCCAGGCAGGTCAGACACTGACTACACGTGTGCACTTCACATAAGCAATCCTTTTTGACTTCAATAGAATTGCTGTAATGCCTTCACATATGAAAAAAAATATCTGTGATGAAACCTGGCAGTTTACATGTCAAGAGCTTTAAACAGCAGTACCACAACAGCAGTAGAATGCCACATATTTTCTGAAATGTATTTGTATATTTAAGTTTGGTATGATGCTGATCATCAACTTTCCTGGTGATGTCGCACAAACACAGACAGAATGAAACTATTGAGAAATGCAAATGCAAAATATTATCATATAAACAGAACCCAAGAGTACTTGATCAAAGTTTTTTTCTGACTTATTTAAGCCAAAAAAACTGGAGTAAATCACAGGTTGTTTGGAAGCAATAGGATAAGGGTTAACTGAAAAATATTTGTTTTTCTGCAAAAGTCGAGATCTTAAACAATAATAAATGTGACAACAGCTGTTTTCACATGTAAATGTACAGAGAGAAGAAACAAAACCGTTGGCTTTTTTGTTTATCACATGCAGACATGAGCAATTTCCCAATCTACCTGAAAATATGTCTTAAAATCACTTCTTTCTTAAAATTGTAAAAATTAAATTATTTGAGAAACTAATATATTTTATACAAAGCATAAAAAAGTAAAAGAAAGCCCTACTCAATACATTCACAAATTGAATGACTCATGTTCTATATGTTGTATGCCAGGGGTGTCCAAACTTTTTGCAAAGGGGGCCAGATTTGGTGTGTTAAAAATATAGGGGGCCAACCTTGGCGGACGTTCTTTACATATAACAGCAATTAATTTAAATACATTTCAGCGAGCTGTTGTGTGTTTCACATTTGCTTTTTTATTTTAATTTCAGCCATCTTAAGCATATGTTTTGGTTCATTTGAAACATACATATCAAAATTCAATTGACATTGAAAATTGAAATTAAATATTCATTTAACTTCACTTTTTTAACACTAACTTTTTTGTAACAGTTGAAGAGAAGTAATTGTACTCTTGGGTGCAAATTACATTTGAAACATAAAAAAAATCTCAAAATGGGAGTTTAATATTTACAGAATTTTTAAACACAATAACAGAGAAATTGTCATATCAACAAGTGCAGGGCTCATTTAAAATATGACAGTAACTATAAATGTTGATTAGCACACCCTCTCTGGCTCGACCCGGGGACAGGACGCTGCGCACTAGTGAAACGGTGAAAGGTTTGCAATGCTTTGCGATCAGCGCTGCTACCTCGTAACTAGCCTTTGTAGCATTCTCGTTTGACTCTTGAGCTTTTGTAAAATATTGCTGCTGTGAGATTAAGCTAGCTTCAAGGAGTTTCAGTTTCTCGCTGCGTTCATTACCTGTGATCTTGTCATGTGCCTCAGCATGTTTAGTTTGATAATGTCGCTTCACATTGAACTCTTTAAAACAGCCACTGTCTCTTTACAAATGAGGCAAACACAGTTGTTACGTATTTCAATGAAGAAATAGTCCAATTTCCACCCATCCTTGAACCGTCGGCCCTCGCAGTCAACTTTCCTCCTTTTGCTAATTGCCGCCATTTTAGAAAATTGGGGGGCCTCACATACTAATTTGCTGTTCCTATTTGAGCCTCTAGATGTCAGCACTTAGAACACGCAAGTAATGTATTACACGCGGCCAGGCGTTATTGATTCTATGACGGAGGCTGCGGGCCGGATGAAAATTGACCACGGGCCGCATTTGGCCCCCGGGCCGGACTTTGGACATGTCTGTTGTATGCTAAATCAACAATTAAAGGTAATCCACAGATATTTTGGAGGTGCTATGCTCTTTAAATATTATTCTGAGCAATTAAATGTTAACATGTAGAATCCAAACCCATAAGAGGATTCAAACAGTAGAGGAAGACACATAAAAACACTGGGTTTTTATGCAGACAGCATAATTACAGTCAATTCTCTTTACAAATTACAGAGCAGACAAATAGGCCAGTTCTCCTTTTCAAACGTTTCCCTTTGGCATGTTAAAGCTATTTTTTTCAAACATGGTCAACTTCAGATTTCACCAATAACCAACTCAAAGTAGAACACAATAGATCAAGCACACACACATATATATATATATATAAATAAATAAAAGTAACCAGCTTCTGCTTCCAGTCAGCCGCCCGCAGCAGTTAATGTTCAGCTCACTCCACCCTCGGTCTCTATCAGCTGAAATCTGAGACAGACCAGACACATCCGGCTGTGGATTTCAGCACTGAAAGAGAAACTCCGCAGGCCTCGTTGGCGCAGTAGGCAGCGCGTCAGTCTCATAATCTGAAGGTCGTGAGTTCGAGCCTCACACGGGGCAAGTCTTTTATAGCGACACAATTCCTTTCAAACACTTTAAATAAACACAGATAACAAAACAAGTATCAGAAAGCTTCCAACTTCGATAGTTCAGTCAAAAGGGTGAATGTGGAAGCTTTCATCAACCAGAAGCTGACATAAAATCCTGCATTCGACAGTGAAGTAAAACAACCCTTGAAATTTAGAATAGGAGGAGCCTGATCAACTGATTTACATCGAAATGCATCCAGACTCTATAGATTGCTTTAATTTTCTGAGCAGCAATCAAATCAGTGAGATTGAAACACCTTCCTTGGGCACACAATCTTGGCATAAAGCTGATTCTGATTATTCTGAGTTATCACATGAAAATGAGAAAAAGGTGCGACGCATATGTGTAATTAAAATAAAAGGCACTGCTGGGATTCGAACCCAGGATCTCCTGTTTACTAGACAGGCGCTTTAACCAACTAAGCCACAGCGCCACACAAGACACCATACCTTACACAGCGTTAATGTTTTCTGTTGGTCCGTCAAGCCCATCCCTGCCATTGTCAGGCGATCACTCAAGCTATGGTGCTCACCAAACAGGAAGAGCAGCACAGTAAAGTATGTTCCTGTTCACTTCAAAATCAACACCTTTGGCGTCGCAAACAAAGACAAGAGTCCCAATTGTCCAAGAATCATTTCTTGGATGCAATACTTAGTAGATTCTTATATCTCATTACCTGAAAAGATGCTCAGGACACCAATATTATACTATGCATCATCCAAACACTCACTCCTGATAAAGCTTTTAGTGACTTTGATGCTAAAATTCACATATGGAGGTGTGGACACCGTGATGATGGAAAAGAGTAAAAAGGACAATGTGAGAAGGTTATGATTAGAATTGTATCACTGTGATAAGTGCTTTAATGTGTTAAATGTTGACAATCATCAATAAGATAAACATTATGCTATAGGTGCTTTTGGGGGGGGAAAAAAACAATCAAAACCATAAGCTATCTTTCCAAAGATAAATACCTTTCCATAAATTAAAAGCACCACAAATAATTTACATACATTTTGGCATGTTGATATACAATGTTGTACAAGGAGCTTTTATGTACCACTATCTAATCTGCATCTCGTGTTTACTAGACAGTTAGTTACACCTTGTTATTTGAATGCAGAGCCTGCAGCCTAAAACAGCAGCTTCTAAACTGGGACTTCATTTAACTTGATATATAGTGCGTGGGATCAACGATTACAGTTTAGCAGTTGAACAGAAATAGATGTGAGCCACAGTTGAAGTGATAATTGTGCGTTATTTCCTGAAAATCTATTTATACTAAGACTTCATCAGCAGACAACAGCAATTCTTATCTACACTGTAATACCGGTGTATTTACTCAAAGCAAACAAACAAACACCTACGTCAGAGTTGTTTTTAGGTTTCACCACACCTTTCCCAACGAACAGTACGCAATTATCAAAAGGCCTTCGTTCTTGGCTGCAAACAATAAGATGCAACAATTTCTGAAAAAGTTTTAAAAGTTTTGGAATATATCCACATGTAGCTTCCCCTCTCCCCATCAATGGTGATTAAAACATCTAAGGATATCGTTTAATTAAGATGCACTTTATCGTCAATCGTTCATTTATTTCAGCAATTAAATTCAATTGGTAAAACAAAAATACCATGAAATGTCCCTATTCACCCATGTAGGTGTAGCTGACATCATCAATGGAAAGCATCAAAATTTTAAGTCCTCATGGTCATGTAATTCTGTCTTTTTATTTTGCTTGCCCTGACTGTCTCCTTACCGATGCCTTCATGTCCATGCATCAAAATCTATCTATTTTCTCTCTGACATAGGTTTGGTGAAGTTGGCTAAATGTTCAGTTACTTTATCTGGTCTTTTTTTTTTTCCCCATGTGTCACCCTCCATAGACCTTTGGTGCCCCACACTTTGAAAAGCCCTGGTTTAGGACTTTCTGAATATAAACCTTTTTCCCTAAGGCGATACAACTACCTCTTATAAAATCCTACAGTCATGTACTGTGCAGTCGACCCACGCAAACTGACTGGTTTTCTTTTAATGTTGCCTGAATTTGTTCCTTCTGCTCGACTTTTACGTTTCAGTGCTATATATTTGTGCTAGTAAGATGCCTCAAAATCACAGGAGAGAAACCAACACAAGATCAGCGTCAATAAGCACATCTGCAAACAAATCGCGTTGGGATCCCTGGGCATGTCTAGACCATTCATGATGTCATGGTGACATTACAGCAGAGATTGCATCTGTAAACACGGGCAGCCAGTTATGCCCAAGATTGATTTTACATGTTTATATGACACTACTCATTCTTACAGCAGTTGACAAATTTTAACAATTGTGAGAAATAATATGTTGTAACCATCAGTTTTATTCCACTTCTTAAAACCTGCTCATGCTGTTTATTAATCTCTATACTCTTGTTTGTTTTTTTTAATTCATCTTATTTTTTTCTCTCTGCTTCTATTATTCTTCCTCCACTATTGTTTCCTCCAACACTCCTTCTGCTTCGTTCTGCTTATGATTAATTCATCGTTATAACTGCATGGCGTATGAGTCAGGAAATCATGTCGGCATCAGCTGTGCGAGAAGTGCAAAACAAGGGAAGAAAGAGTGAATGTGGCCGATGGGAAATACTTGAGGGCTTAAAGAGTGGCCAAGAAGTGGATGAGTGTCTCCGTGTTCATGTTCTTAAGGATGAAAGAGTGTTTAGTTTAATGAGGGCAAGGGTTTCTCTGGTTAAAAAAAAAAACAAAAAACGAGGAGTTAAACATGAGGAAACAGCTGAACTCACTGGTTAACGGCACACTGACTGAGATCAGGTGCCTGAGTCAGACGGAAATAGAGACAGAGGAGAGCTGTTGTGTTTTCACGCTGCATGATCACCACAAGACGCGGCGCAGGAGATTCTTCAGATCACGTAGATGCTTTGCTAGAATGTAGAAGGGTTTTATCTTATTTGGGAAAGTTCTCTAAATCGACAGGTGGAACACAAAAAAAAAAGCTCAAAGTGATGTTACTTATACAGACATCGACTAAACAAACACTCTGTGTTAATAATTATCTGCCGAAATGGTTGCTGCAAAATACTTGACTCTTGGAAAATTGCTGATTTTTCATTTAGATTATTTGAGAAAATTAAGTTAATAGATTAAACAAGAGGATATCGTAATTAGTAAAAACCCAAATCCTGATGTTCCAAACAAATAACTTACACAATTTTCCCAGAACCATCAAATATATTATTATTATTATCATATGACAGTCTGACAGAGACAAACTCCAGCAGAACAATATCACAGTCAACTACTGCTTTGATCAGTCACAGCTGCTGAAATATAACCTGCTAAACAGATCTCTGTGGATACGTGGACTCATCGATCATTTCAAAAAGCTATTTTCAGGGATTGTCACTTTTACAGTGTAACAATTCCTGTACACAGTGAAGCCAAAGATGATCAATCTCTGCTCTTACAGGGACTCAAGAAATGGGAATAGTGTGGCTCTGTTAAAGCTGATTATGATTAATAGCACTTCATCAGTTACAAGTTTTCTGCTGTTTAGAGCAGCAGCTGAGGTTTTCTGCAGCATAATTCTGTGAAATACAGAGACAATCCTGCCTAATTGCTTTTCCAGAATAGCTTTGCATTAATCGGAGGTTTTGATTTTATGTTCCCCGTGCATTTAAATTATGGAAGCCACACAAAACAGGACCCTGAGAAAATTCTGGATTCAAATCGGTGAGCTCCATCTCACTACTCAGCATGGAGAGCCATTACGCTTTAATGACATGCACAGATAATTCCCAGGAATCGGTCAATAAATCTGTGCGCATTGCAAATTTCAATTAGCGTTTTCATAATTCCCTTCCAGCAGGACAGGACGGGGATCACATTGAGATTCCAGTCAAATCCTGCACCATCAGCTACAAGACTCGCACTTTTACTGATTATTTCTTGATTATTGATGTGTCAGGAAAACATCAACGTTGTGCAACTGTTCTCAAAAATGTTTTTCCCTTGACCTGAAAATTTTAAAGACTTAAATACAAAAAAACATGTTCTCGTCATTCATAAAATGACAGAAAGGTAGCAAAATGACATGATGAATGCCAATGTAACCAAAGTGAGGAGTACAAACATACATGTTCTGTTTGTGAGCTGATTTTAACAGTCAGCAGCAGTAGGGTGATGGGTGTATCTCTGTTGAGTCAGATATAAGAGTAGATAGGGGGATTTAGGTGGATTGAGGACACCAAGTTGAACACTCTGACGACACATCGTTTTCTCCTCCCTGCACTTTTTCTGACCATTCCTTCACAAGACATCAAACCAGAAGATTAAACACACTACCATCCCTCTCTCATCTTTCTTCTCACCAGCATTGCTTAGTCTTCCACCGTCATCCTGAACCTTATAGATTTTGTGGGCAAGTGCAGAGAGTGTTTTTATTCAAGCTCCCCAGTGGTCTGATGAGAGTAAATAACCTCAGCAAAACCTCAGAGCAGCTTTTGGGATTAAGGCGCTGCATTTAATGTATTCTTCATGTGGAAAAATATGCACTTTTCAACTCTGACAAAATGTCTCACGAGGCCAGACGTTTTGTCGCCCTGCTGAATACTTCAATCATTTCAAAGTTCAGTCTCCATACTTTATCGGACTAATTCTTACAGAGTTCAAGCAACTGATGAGCCTTTTTTCCTATGTGCAGGCATGGTAAAAACAAACAATTTTACTGTACACAAGTATACAAAAAACTAAAACAACAGATTCAATATTCTGGAAATAAGACTAAAAAGCATGTACTCCATATTTATTGTGACATTAAATATAAATGTAAAACCTTCTTCAAACTCAGCCACATTTTGTCACATTACACACGCAAAGTTCAGTTTATTTGCATGAGAGTTTATGGGAAGAACCAACATAAGACAATTGAATTAATGAATAACAGGAAGAAAACCACACACTCTCATCTGAATATAAGAATATAAAATAAAGAGCAGTATATATATATATATATATATATATATATATATATATATATATATATATATATATATATATATATGTATATATATATATATATACATATATATACATATATATATATATATATATATATATATATATGTATGTATCTATTGTTTTTATTTCATAGGGAAATTAATTTAACTTATGGCATTTTTATTAATCACAGTATTTATTTATTTATTTGATTTTTAATTAAATGAATCTCCGTGCAATAGAAGAAATTCCGGAAGAAAACTGGTTAGAATCTGCTGACGACTTCAGAATGAGTTAAATGTTCACCTTCAGGCTCACAACCAGAGCTACTATTCAATGGTTTAGATCACGGCTTGTTCATGTAAAATGGCCTAGAGTGCAGACCAAATGCCTAGAGAGACTCTGTGGCAAGATTTGAAAATTGCTGTTCATCCAGTCCCACCGAGCATGGGTTATTTGCAAAAAGCTGAAATCTTTCCTCTATAATTGTAACAAAATTTTATTCTTCACCATATTGACTCCAGGGGCTGAAAACATATATAAAAAAAAACTTTTATCATTTCATTTTACTTCACAAGTGCGCACTGCTTTGTGTAGTTCTAGCAAATAATATCCCAATAAACTCTGTTTTTCTGCTGTATAAAAGACAACATGTGAAAAGGTTTTAATGGTAAACACTTCAGCAAGGTACTGCAGCTATCAATGTCATCACTGGTATGATGCAGAACTGTATTAAAATCAAATTGTGGCTCTTTTTGACGATAGCCATAATGACTTGCTTAAGGAAACAAACAGCAAACAGATGCGGGTCACTGCGGGGGCCCGGGCCCCAGCCCCCTAATCAAAGGACGACTTCCCCAATCACTACAAAACCCCGCTGCTCCCCATTTTACTGCCATCAAAGTGCATCATCACAAATAATTACAAAACATTAAAAGCTCGAGTATCATACTGAGAAAACCCAACAGGCAGCTTTTTTTTCACCCCACTGATGAGGACGACAAGGACAAATTTTGAGCTCTTTAACCAGAGGTATGCAGCTTGATCTCGCGTCGACTTACACAACCAAGACTTTGTGGTCGCATGAGTTTAACTGGCTCTCACAATCTCCCACCAGTGAGACCTTAGCCTTGTTCACTCTCCAAAACCCCTGCAGCAACAGGCCAGTCTGGTCCCAAACAGCTGGAGCTGCCTCCCGAGAGAGGGAGGGAGGGAGCCAGAGAGGAGAGTTGAGGCAGAGCAGAGGACAGCACTGGGAGCTGAAAGGCTCAGTTTTGTTGTTGTAGATGTTGTTGTCATAAGTAATCAATGTTCAGTCAACAGAAAAATTGAAACTGAGAAAGGGAATCGAGGTTTTATCCTAAATCCATACAGAGTCGGTTGTGGGATGAAACTGTTGACTCGTGTGTCATGAGGAAAAGTAAAGAAACAGATTGAATGATAATGCGAATGGGCGATAAGAACACAGAACATCCTAGGATCTGTGTGACATAGATGATATTTTGAAAAGAAAACAAGCATGGATGACAAAAAGGACAGCTGGAAATTCCTTCACAATATGACAAACTCCCTCCTCGGTTTATGTCTTTCTCACGTGTCACTTCCCTCTAATTCCTTAGCTGCCTCCTTTTCCATTTTCTTTGTGTTTCTGTGGAAGCACGTCTTTTGCCGTGCAGATCAGACGGTAAGATTTCCAAACATCTGCCATTTGGCTCGAGCTTTTCCTTTTTGACAGAGGATCATGTTAGAGCGATTCATGCAAAGCAGAGATCCGTCATACCTCATGTCTTCCAGCAGGTCACATTCAGTTTGATGTTTAAAGTGCAGCCTTGTCATCTGCTCCGTGTGAGTGTTTTTTAGTTCCTGCGTCACTTTGACCTGCAGAAAAAAGCAAAAAATAAATAAATAAATAAATAGAGATTAATCATTTCCTTATCTCTCTTTCCTGCAGGCATCTTATCTCATCTTCTGACTTTCACTCACCAACTGATAACCCTTCTCAAGAATTCTTAGTTCTCCTTTCTTCATTTTTATTACAATACTATGTACGAGAAACAGGATTTCTTAGCATCCTTCTTGATTGCAAAAACATCTACAGTTAAAAGAATGCCATATTTTGCTGCATACATTGACACCTTAATGCGTAATTATTCATCAGTTCACAACTCATCATGCCCTTATTGTACTTATTTGGATTGAAGTTTAGATTAAATTTCTAAAAGTCACAAAATAAAACGCGTGAAAGAATTATACTCTTAGGTTCAAGAGGTATGGGCTGCTTTCAGAATAACAATAGGCTCCTCGCAAACAGACAAAAAACAACTTTGTTGGACAATAAACAATCAGGCCCCAAAACTTATTGCGTTAAACGACAATATTGTAATATTTGTATGTATTATATTGATAATGGAATAATAACTTTGATTTAATTTTGAACAGAACACTCCCCACTGGAACTGGAAAACATTTCAAATATCTAATATATACAGAAAACAAAAACAATTTAAAAAAATAAATAAATAAACACATATGCAATATAAACCATAAATAAAATTAATTATGATGACTCTGTAAACGAAAATGCCCTTCAAAAAAATATTAATCATCAGAATGGGAAACATTGAGTTCATTTTAATTAATCATGTGTTTAATTAATTAATTGCGATCATCTCAATTCTTTTAGTCGAAATACCTCAGCTTCATGGCTTCACTGGGTTTTACCAAAGATTCAAAAGCAAAAGCACAAAAGTTGAACATATTAACTATACCAGCTATAATTTTATCTGTATAGCTTATTACTATTTAGATTTTTTTTCCTTTTACATAGACTTCATTTCCACAGCTCTACTATCTGTGAAAATATATCCTGCTTGACAAATTTGTCATTTTGTTACAAAGGGCAAAGCATAGCAATTTCTGATAAGCCACATGAAAATGTAGAAAACAGCAACAGGTTGGAGTTCAGGAAGTCTGCTACAAGCATTGCAGTCTGCTGGCAGCCTAAGGTATTGTTGCAATAATAAGCAATAGTTGTGCAAATATGTGTTTTGTTTTTATTTATTTTCAACAGCCCTAGACAGAGGCAGAAGAAGAAAGAATATTTATAATCTGGAAAATAAACATATAACAGTGTTTGTTCAGGGCAGAAAGACTTGGTAAATTCCATTATTAAGTAATTTTGTTCCTTTTGTGACTTTTCAAAAAAAGATTCTCTCGAAGGGGTTAGAGATGACAAAGACTTTATTTTTTTACTTCTAGTATGTTCTGGTGTGCTTGGTTAGCCTCTCCATGTCAACAGTCTGTAGATCAGATGTAGTAATTACACACTGGAAAAGACTGAAAACATAATTATCTGGATCAAAAAAAGACAGCATTTGGAGGCTGTTTGAATTCAAATATTGGACTAAAAATATGTGGTTCACAAAATATGACTGCAGTTTCTTTGCAATTTGATGAAACAGAAGCTACTTGGATGGCAACATCCGAGTAGCAGACAGACCCTGCTGAGTGCCATAAAAAGATACATAAAGTTTAATCTCACATACAAATGGCTTTTGCTGATTAAGCCATATCCATTCACACTGTGCCGTGCTAAAAACTGCCAGAGACAAAGCAAACCCTTAATATACAACCGCACATCTCCAGCCAAACAGAGAAGGTCACTGAGCATTGTGGCCTGAATTCCATCATCTATTCACTACGGTAACAGTGGGCAAATTCATGACGCTTCTAGACAAAACAATCAACAACGACCCCACACATTACACACAACGAGAGAAAGAGAGAGAGAGAGAGATGGAACTTCCTTTTTTTTTCCATCAGCTGCTCCGCTGAAGATAAGGGGGGAGTGGTTCATTACATTAACAGGGCTAAAGCACTTCACTTGATTTCACCTTCTATTGCTCAGAGGGAACCACAGGAGGAGTGAGGCGTCAAAAGAAAAAAGAAGAGGGTCATATAGGGATCAGGAGGTAAGCGGGGAGTGAGAAGAAAAGGAGATGAAACATGAAGAGCAAGGAAAGAAATGAGTGAAAAACAGAAGAAGAGAGAATGAGATGGGAAGACCAGAAACAATAGTTGGTGGTTTGGAGGAAGAAGGCAACACATTTCTAACTAAGCAATCAATGGAGTATTGATTGGGAAAATACCTCAACTTCCAAAAAAATGTGATTCCTCCAAGATATTTTGTTGTATTGCTCCTACAATCAATTATTTAAACTGTAAGCCAGATGTTTAAGCATAGGACATTCTATCCAGTTTACAATGGACTTCAGTCCTGATGATTCCTAGATTTTTATTGAACATCCTGACAAACATCTGTCCATTTGAGGGTGACACTTTGAGCCAGCCAGTGAAAACTTGCAAACAATGGTTTGAGTTATGTCTATATACATATTTCACTTTCTGTGGGTAAGAGAGTTGGATCTTAAATCTGTGAAGTTGTCCATGGCAGAATCTGGTCAGCCCAAAAATCAAAAGGCTCAAAAGTGACACTAAAAACTGAACATTATTATGACATTAATATGTGAACCCCCTAGTGGGGTCGGGAGTTGCTGTTGCCTATCTCCAGCTGCGTTCCGAGAGAGAGGCGGGGTACACCCTGGACAGGCCGCCAGTCTGTCACAGGGCAACACAGAAACTGGACAAACAACCATGCTCACACCTAAGGAGGATTTGGAAAGACCAAATTAACCTGACTGTGGGAGGGAGCCGGAGTACGCGTGCACAGGGAGAACATGCAAACTCCAGGCCAGGAATCAAACCCAGGACCTTCTTGCTGCAAGGCAACAGTCCTACCAACTGCACCACTGTGCAGCCCCAAATTTTCTTTTTGACTTCAGCTTCTTTTTAGCCACTTTCTTTTCAGTACCTGGCCGTTTTCAGAGAGCAATTTAATTGGCTTGGTAAGGTACTTAACTCAGACTTATGAATGATTCGGACATAAAATGTTTCTAAACTGATGTTGTGTCTGGAAATGCTAGACTCAGACACTAAAATTCCCTTTTGCATTTTTTTAAAGTGAAAAAATAAAATACAAGAGTGGCGTCCGATGGTTTTTAGCCCTTACGTTCCACAAACCTGCACTTTATTAATTTGTTTTTTACAAAAAAATGGAATGAAGAAAGTCATCAGAAGAAGATCTGTTTGCAGTTTTGTCATAAGCCAAGAATGCATTTGGCCCAACAGTTTCTGAACCTTTGATCCACTTATTTAGAAACCCCAAAACAGTAGTAGATGTATGGTTCTTCAATCACAAGACAAAATGGGTAGGTACTTAAATGACTTGAAAACTCATCCTCATTTTGTGGCTCAAGCTGAAAGCTGATCTGTTCATAGTGAAATAGAAATGTGACTCCACTGGTGGACGAATGCTGTACAACGCATACATTTATGAAAACTTGGAATTTTTCTTTCACATTGCAAAGAGCAGTAATGTGCTGATCAGAAACAGCCAGGTAAATTGAAGTTTGTGATTGCAACATGTGCAAATGTGGAGGAAGCTCAAGCACTTTTGCAAGGCGCAGCATCCTTCAGCTGAAAACTGAATGATGCATATACCATCTCTCAGGTCCACTGTCAGGCATCTGCTTCACTTTTTGTATTTCTCACTGTCGGTACTTTTACACTGTTCATCTGCTAAAGATAATTTTTTCACATTTTCCCCTTGTGTTTTAGACACACTCCACAACTAACTTCATTACATACGTTTTTTTTTGTTTGTTTGTTTTTTTAAAATATCCTGTTAAAATTGCTAGAAAAAAAAAAGCTAAAAATTTAATCAAAACACCAGATATTTGAGAAAAAGCTGCTCTACTGGGCTCACTCCCACCTCTGCCTCACACAGACACTCTTAATCTATTAGTCTGTGTTAACCCAGAAGCAGCCATCTATAATTTAAGTCACATCAAACTAATATATGGGGCTCAAATAGCTCAGTTTGTTGGCAGATGGGCCTGAGACCCAGACAAAACACTTCAGGGGCTGGATGTGTCGCTGTGGGAGGGAGAAAATACTTGTATCTAACAGCCAAACACTGATACACTCTGGCTGTGGTGCTGCGGGCTGAGAGGATAGCATGTGTCAACTACCTTGGCAAAGTGTTTAAAAAAAAAAGGCTGTACTTTTGGCTAATTTGTTAATTCTTGAAAGAATTTTGACATAAAATTGATCAAAAAGACAGCAAAGAGAGGCCTCTGCTCACCACGGCCTCATTTATGACAGAACCTTGTAAAGTGGGTGAGTTTTAAGGGCATGATTTGACATGTAGAAAGGCAGCACATTAAAAAGCACAGTGGGGAAGATATGTGATAATTAAAAGACATTTGCACAGAGACTTACAGGTGAACACTGCCTACCACACATCTGCTTTAAGACTCCACATAAAAAAAAGCAGTGAGAAATACTTCCAGTCACTGTCCATTGATACAGCATGCATTTACTTTACTTCCATTATTGCCTTCTAATAAAATAAAAGGCAAAATTGGACGTTTCCCACTTTTAAAAGTATAAAAATCAAAAATAAAAAAAACAAAAAACAGAGATAACTAAATTACCAGTTCGCTCACACATCTACATTGATAGAAGTCACTTACTTAAAACTCCCTCACATTGACGCTTATCAGAAGAAAATAGTCAAACTCCGATTTATTCATAGTAATATTTCCAAGTTTGCTTTTGTTCTAGAGTCCAACCTGTATAATATGCATTGAAACCAATGAAGCTTCTGTTAACCGTAACACCAACAGACTTTGGAAAACACAATCTAGAGGGTGATCTTTCAGTCAAACTCTCGAAGAACCAGTTGTTAGTGTACTCTTAAAAGTAGGCCTACATTTTTTCTTTTTTTGGTGATGTTTAAAGTTAAGTGGCTTAGGTTATCTTACCCTAACTCTCCAGATAGGCTTAGGCTACTAGGAGATTTTCTGACCAACTTTCTTCCCTCTGCTATCTTTACTGTCTCTCCATTTATGGGCTATTCACACTTAATGCTGTACATTAACTTCTTATATTCTCTTTATTTTCCTTTTCAGTAGAAATGACTCCTAGCCCAGTGATTCAGTGCTTAGCCGTTTTGGACTGTTGAACAAAATCTTAGCAGCTATTGTGATCATTAATTATTTGAATCATACATGTAATTTTCCTTCCAGTAAAAAGCATTCCCACCACAGTGCTTCAGCATGTCTTTGCTGGATGGAGTCATTGACAGAACTGTTGATGACTTTACTTGCATTCTTTATGTTTCTCCTTCCACTCCTCGCCCAGTGTTTTAGTATGTCTTTCTTTCTGAGTGCGTTTTCTGGAAGGAGCTTTTGATGGAGCTATTTATAACATTAGCCTTGTGTTAGCTTTTTGAGCATTTAGAAAGTACTTCTGGTTTATCCATGGTTGAATCCCTTAACATAGTTTTTACTGCCATTTACTACTTGAGCCCCATTTCTTTTTCTTTCCTATTAAAAATTTGGAGGTACGCTTTGTTACGTTTGTCTTTATCTCCTTCCTTTCCTTGAGTTCATGGTTACTCAATTAGAGCCTGGTTCATCTGGAGGTTTCTCTCTGTTAAAGGGGAAGCTTTTCTTTCCACTGTCCCCATGTGCTTACTCAGGTAGAGTAAGCACACATTGAATATTCAATTACCCTGATTTATTTAGTTTTGGAAGATCAGCGGTCAGGCAGAGAAATCAGTTTTATCCACTGGTCTTACCTACCTCTGCAAACTTATCAGCCTTGTAATCTGCCATGCCAGAGGCACCAGGTCACATTTAAATGTCCGTCAGCCCACTGCTGCATACTCAATGTCTTTGTCACTATATTTACTGACTTTTCAGAAAAAAAATAGTACCGTCCAAAATTAGAAGGGGGTGGTGATTGTCCAGAAGACAGCAATCAGTGCATCCGTACTTTTTACCAACTGTAGGGGTACATTACAATCAGACGAAACTAACAGATCTGCAATTAAATCCGAATTGCAATCTGATAATACTGGAAATGCACTGGAATAGGTGTTTTCATCTTCTGAAAAAAGCCTACTTGTTGTCAGTCGGTGCTCTACATATACACTAAGCTTAATTGAAGGTGTTTGTTTAAAATAAAATCAAAAAATACTACCAAGGGACAGAAAGCTTGTGAGAGCAACTCCATTTCCACCGTATTTAAGTTTCTTATTTGACCTCTCTTTAGTTTTCAAACTGAATACTATGCTCGCAGACAGTGCTGTGTGCTTCAGAGTGCTGTAGGGACGTCTCTCCACTCTAGAGTGAAACACAGATCAATAAGCCAGCATCAGACCAGGCTCTGTCGTGTGATGTTTAGCTTCTGCAAGCTCAGCTTCCTTACAGATGAACCAATGTGACCCTCGCTTGATTTATGCTCTTTTGCTAAAGTAAAAACAAAACAAAAACAAAAACAAAAAAAAACATAAAACGATTATGCATCACCTTGGACAAAAGCCCGTTGTTTCTGTGCCTTCTGGAAACAAAAGCTGTCACAAATCTGACAGCGCGCATAAATTAGCGGAATAACAACGCCGGGCTTTGGTTTGCACTGTTGCACTTAAATGCAACAAACAGGCACCAAATTTAAAGTTATTTTCACAACAAAGCGCGTTAAAATGACAGCCACGGCGTCAGAGTCAATACAATAGCGCGGGGCTTTGTTTCAAACGTCTTGTAGCAGACCACCTAGTGCCTCGGAGCTAACGCGGTTTTGACGTTTTGACGGCTGGACAGATGCACATTAATGTCAATAACGGCTTTCCAACTCGCCATGCTAGCTCGTCCATCTGATACCTTTAACCTTGCGTTGAACAAACGCTTGATGTGCGGGGGTCAATAAATGACTTCCGTCTGAGGTTAACAACACCGTTATTTGTCATTGTGTGAGCCAGCAGCCAGCTAAAAAACATAACGGACCCCGGGAATCACTCACCTTCCTCGGCGGCGGCTGCATGTTGGAGATTTGACATGAATGGTATTTCCCTTGTGAGATGTACTGTAATTCCAGGAGGAAATCCAAATCCGTGTGGGGCCAATAATAATCTTTCGTCTTCTTCAAAACAGAAATCCCCCCGTCCCACCCCCCCTACTCCTTTTCAAAGTCGACAGGGAGGAGAAGACGGAGACTTAAATCTGTACTCCGGCGGCCATGATTGATGATAAACGGCCAGTTTTATTGAGAGCCGAAGCTACGAGGAGCCACTGCACGCGCTCGTGCTGGTTGCTGACACTACGAGAGCACTGTACTGATGATGTAGGCGGCAGAGAAAGAAAGAGCAGAGCGAAGGAGAGAGTGTTTTTAGCAAATTCAGCTCAACGGCGCCACCATGTGGACACCAGTCGTATATGTTTGGTAGAAGATGAGGGGGGGGGGGACAACAAAATCGGCACAGCACAATTATTTTTGTTTCTCCGCCGGCATGGCCTCGATTAACGCGCCCGCACATATTTTTGAAGGCAAGCGTGAAGACAGGATGACTGATGGAGATACTGACTGCAGTTTATGTCGGGGTATTTATTTTTTTCGCTCCCGAACGACTATCAGCATGAGTAAGAAGAAAAGGCAAGAGACGGAGCTGCATAGCAACAAGAAACCGCAGTCGATCAAGGAAAAATCGATCGTTTTTAAATACACACTGAAAAGGGCTCTTATCTCTTTATAATATAATATAATATAATATAAATAATATAATATAATATAATAATATAATATAATATAATATAATATAATATAATATAATATAATATTTGGACAAAGCTGTGATATTTGTGAAATAATTGGTCCATCTCTTCAGCTTTACAATTGGACTCAACAAGGTCACTACAACATTTTCCAATTTAAATCGATTTTTTTGATTTTGTTTTTAAATAAACATTACCCAAATTGTAGGCAGCAGATTCTTGTTAAAGATTTTGTGTTGTAATTTACGAGAAAAATGTAATTGGGTGAAGACATCCTCAACCAGTGGTGTAAAAATCTTTGTTGTTGCTCCCCTAACCAACTCTTTCTTATAACTGCTGACCAGGTTTGTGTGTGTTTTCTCTGGTCTGAGCCACTTATCCTGGTCGATGAGCTCCAAATCTCTGAGGTTGGAAGACCTCTGTGCCATCACCAGCCTTTTGCCTCTCTTCTTCTTCAAATTCTTGTCAGGACTTCGTCTGGGGAATTGTTATTATTTCCAATCAGAGGAAATATGTTGGTCACATAAAAAAAAATCCCTGGACACTTCCAACAGTCCAGAAACATGACTGTATAGGTCAATTGTTTTCTCTAAATTGCCCTTAGGAGTTTGTTTAAATAGCTTTAAAAACTGATTAAATCTATGTCCATGCAGGGACAAAAATGTCCTTGCATGGATTGTTGTTATTAATTAAAAAAGCGATACAAAAGCAATACAAAAAATCTAAACCAAAAAAAGAAAGATACATGAAGTCTATGTGTAAATTGTCTTTCCTAATCCCTATAGTTGGATTTATATGACCATATGTTGGGTTTATTTTGTTCCCCAACCTGCAAGAATCAACCAAAGACACAAATTACTTTTCCGCAGAAAAGCTGAGGTCAGCTCCGTCGGTTCTCAGTCCCCAACTGCCTTTTATTATCATGTGAATACACAAAGAGGTTGGCTTTCTCACTCAGACATGCAAACAATTGATCAATACACTATCCTACAGGATGTTCTGGAAGTCTTCTGTTGATGTCCCATCCTTGGGACACAACCATGACCACTCTCAGGATACAGACAAAGATCATTGTGGCTCGTTAACACAGGAATGTGTGAGGCATTTCCAACCTACAAGAGAACACTCTAAAAGACAGTTGAGAATATACAATAAAAGAAAGGGAAAGAAAACAACACACGGAATAACCTGAAAACATAACCATCCAATATAAAAGTAAACGAACTAAGATAATAATTTTTCTAACACCATAATGCTTCAGAACAGTTTAAACCACTCCTCCCACCCAACCAGGTTTTCTCCCCAGTAAAATGTAACCTTTGGTAATAGAAAATGGTCCAAGCTATTCAAGGTTGGTTAATACGTGTTAATAGGTTAATATGTGTTAATAATCATGGAATGAACGTCCTTATTACTCATTTGATTCTGAAAATTTCCACCTCTCCCAAAGCAGATTATCTTCATTTCAAGATTGTCATAGTAAAGGTGTTTAAATAATTCTCATGAAGTAATTATCAAATTATCTGACCACAGTGTGACCAGTGTGACTCCAGTGATATAGTAATAGTGGCTAACAGAGGAAAACGCAAGGTGTATGCCCTCTATGGTGACATACATGTAAGGGTACGGAACAGTTAATGATTAATGCGCAGCGTTTCTAAAAGCAGGTAAGACATTAAGCGCCTCTTCTCACCTTCCTTTTCAATATTAACACAACGCATACACCCACACGAGGCTATTCATTGAAGCCAAACACATCTACAGTTAGTGCTCAAGGCAGGAAAGAAAATGGATGACACTCATTTCTGGATGATATTGTATTTCGAGAGGATACTCAGACAATTATTTTGATGTATGGTTTGTTTCCTTTTGGCAGAATTACGGTAAGAAAGCAGGTCCTACACATTATATTCTAGACGCGGTGTCTCCTATGTTAAAGCTTGTTTGTTTTCCAGTGAATAAAGCAATCTCAAGAAACATTTTCATATCTTGCACCACATCAAGGGCAGACAAACTCTTGCTGCAATAAACAGTGCACCTTGGGGATGAGTACACTGTGTTACATCAGTTTGCTGGCCTACAATGTTGTTTTTTTTTCTTCTCCTGGCTTGCTTGCCAAAGATTTATCAGTTTTATAGCAGTTTAAATAGAAATACGGTTGTGTTGGTGAACATGTTTCAATATTTGACAGCAACATAACTTTGGAAGTCTTGTGTTTTAAATGTGGACAATGTTAGTGTTGTTGTACTTCAGAAGATTGAGATCAGGGATGATAATATTTTTGAAAAACTAGTTCCTTCGTTTAACTTTATCAGTAGATGTTTAGCTTTAAAGTGGGAGAGAGGTGTCAATAGGGATATTAAGTGTATGCAAAAAGAAGACAAAATGCAACATCAAAGCAATAAAACTGCAATAGTCATAATAAAAATAAAAATCCTTTATAAATATAATCCAAAAGAAAATAAATGTGTTTGGTTGATTTTATTTTTGATGTAACACTACTTTTTGGATACACATTTTTACTGTTGAAAAGCTTGTTTAAACAGTGCCATATTAATAACAAAAATGCACTTAACATGTGCCCTGTATTAATGAAAAACTGACAAACATCAAGCAGCTTTTGGTGGAGGCACTGGGATGATGTGGGACGTCACCACCACCAACTTCATAAACAAGTCTCTTCATCAGACCGCTCTCCTTGAAATTAGATTGGTTTAATTTGAACCAATCCCAGCAAATTCCTAACAAAGAAGTGTTTGTGTCTAGAATTACTTCTTTGTTATTCTTTTCATAAAAGTAATAATTTAAACATTTATGTTTTATTTATAGATTTTTAAAGCCACACACACACACACACAAACCCAATAACACTAATGTGCCAAAACTGTTCTAGCAAAGAAACAAAAAAATAAAACATTCCCATATAGATTTCACTTTCCATAAATAACATTATATTACCATATCACCATATTCTGTTCTTGCCGGCATGTATTTTTTGTTTTTTTTCCCAATGTGTTTTGGCAGATTAAACAATTATTTAGACTTTCGATTTGATATATTTTTGAAATGTAATGCATGTAAGATCAAAGATTTGGACAGTAAATTAAGGCCGTAAATGAGAGAAATAGCATCCGAGCCCTCAGGGTAAAGCGTGCAGGCTGCAGCTTGCCTGTCTAGCACACACCTCCAAGTTCTTTACCAACCCAAAGTTCCTACTTGTACACTCAGCCAAAAAAGGAGCACTCTGAGGATTCCTGGCTTTGGAAAGGCAGCGCTAAAACTCTCATTTAATGTGAGTAGCCCTTTAATTTTATCAGTTTTATAGATCTATGTGAGAAACTACTTCATCTGGAAAGTACAGGGTGTTGTTGCATGGCTGGATGTGCTCAGTTTTTTCTGCTTCGCACACTGAAAGTTAGAAGAACTGGGTAGAGTTTTTAAGAAGTGGCTAATTCTTAACCATTATCAGGGAAAGTTAACCTTCTGCAGATTCAAAGAGGACACTGTAAAAGGGGAACACTCCTGGGGAACAGGAGATTTGTTTTACAAAGAAAGCAGAAAGAGGACAACAAAATTCCAGTTTTTTCTGAAACTGACATAGAAAAAAGGTTTGCTGTTATATTTGCATAAATAAATTCCATTTGTGTTATGTTAATGCATGACAGATTTAAGCTGGTCACTGCACAGCAATGCCAGATGAAGCTGAGCGAGGCACTGTTGTTGCTTGCGGGAGATAAAGTCTTCAAACAGTTTTGAAACTGAGTCTGGTTTGAGTTAGAAAGTTATTTCTCTCTTCTGTTGCACAGCTGTGAGTCTTCAAAATCTGAGGCATTCAGATTGTGAGGGTGATGGTTGATTATCTGCGTGGAAATACAGCTGCAATAAACATCGTGTTGCAACAGTATAATTTGTGTAAATTCGTAAATAGGTAAAGAAACATCTTACATTTCGTTGTGAAACCTATAAATCCCACATCTTGAAATGTTCAAATGGTTGTACTCATTCAAGAGAGCAAAAACAAAAAATCATGAATTTTAATTAAATGCTTATTTACAGTCACATACAGTATTTATCATTTTGGTCATTTTCCCAATTTTATAGGACTTCACATTTTTCTCTCATCAATTCTAGCGCCCACTCAGATAGAAAAAACAAAAATCAAGAATCAAATGACTCAATCTCTGCTGAGTGACTCCAACCATCCCTCTGCATGATTTTTCTGAACTGTGCTGCTGAATCAGAACAAGATGAGCGTCCTAGGACAATGGCACGTTTCCTGTGTCCACATAGCCCTCTGAATAATGCCTAAATATCAAAGTGAACTCACTCATAACCAGTCTAAATCTTCCCTTCAGGTGCTGTCACAATCAGCATGGCCTACCCTCACATCAACGTGACCAACCGCTCCAACTCCAGCTCTTTCTGTCAATTTAACGAAGACTTTAAATACATTCTCCTTCCCGTCAGCTACGCCCTGGTTTTCGTCGTTGGTCTGGCGTTGAACGCCACAGCTCTTTTTGTGATGGTGTTCCGCACAAAGCGATGGAAGCCTTCCACCATTTACATGTTCAACTTGACGATGTGTGACACACTCTACATCTTCACCCTTCCCTTCCTCATCTACTACTATGCCGACGAGAACGACTGGCCCTTCAGTGAGCCGATCTGCAAGCTGATACGCTTCCTGTTTTATGCCAACTTGTATGGTATGGCACAGGCCAAGCCACACACACCTATGATGCAACACACAAGTATTTGAAATGTGATACGCAGAGGAAGGGGAAGAGCAAAGTAAAATCATGTCATATTTGGCATTTGGCCATAATGTGATATATTTCTGGCAGACATCACAACTACAGAATGATACATGTTGGCATAGCGTATAATCAAAGAGAAGGCATGGTGAAATCTTAACAGTATCTCTTCAGTAATCTACCGAAGAATCCACAAACCACTACTTAATGTTTTTTTTTAATCTTTTTGCAAACACATTTGTGCAATAAATTATGGAGATTCAATACAACAATACAACAATGGCTTGAATATCTAACCAGCTTCTTAATGTTAGCATTTTATAGATTCCAGGGAGTTTCCAGGGGTCTCAAACTACATTCCTTGATGGCCAGAGTCCTTCAACTTTTATGTAGATGTTACTCTGCTTTTTTACCCCTGGCTCAAATATTATCTCTATATAACATTTACTCATATTAATATATATGAAGAACATAAAACTATTGCTCTGCTTTGCAGGCTCCATTCTATTCCTCTGCTGCATCAGTCTCCATCGGTTCCTTGGTATCTGCCATCCCGTCCGCTCGCTCAGCTGGGTCAGTGCGCGTCGGGCCAGACTGGTGTCTGTAGCAGTGTGGGCATGTGTTTTATCCTGCCAGGCTCCAATTCTCTACTTTTCCAGAACAAGGTGATTAAACTATATTTTACATATTGTCTACTACATTTTGCTTCTACGGCTTTGAATGTATTAATGTATGTTCTCCTCCAGGGATGTAAAGACAGGGCAAATCTGCTATGACACCACCAGCCCAGAGCTTTTTGATGACTTCCTGGTGTACAGCTCAGTCGTGTCAGTGCTCATGTTTGCCTTGCCCTTCTTGGTGGTGATGGTTTGCTATGGCCTCATGGTGCGGAAGCTTCTGGAGCCCGGCTGGGGGTCTAATGAGAGAGGTGAAGGTGAAGGAGGCGGTCTGAAGGCAGAACGGTCAAAGCAGAAGTCTGTGAAGATGATCATTATTGTGCTGGCAGCGTTCATGCTGTGCTTCCTTCCTTTTCACCTGACCAGAAGTCTTTACTATTCATTTAGATACCTGAGACAGGTGAATCCATCACAGGTATGTCCTCAGTCTGTTTCTGATTTTTATTGGCTTGCAGTTTGTAACTCCTCAGATTTTCAATCTGTTTTCATCAGATCAGCTGTGGTTTGCTGGAAGCTGCCAGTGTGGCCTACAAGGTGACGCGACCTTTAGCCAGTGCCAACAGCTGCGTGGACCCCATCCTTTACTTCCTGGCAGGACGGGACGCTCGCAGCACTCTCACCAAGAAGAGCAAACTGTCCTCACAGAAACCCACCAGGAGCTATTGTTTGACCACAAAACTCTGATCCCCTTTATAAACTTAAGTGGATTCATTCTTAAGCTGTTTTTTAAGCAGCTCATATAGTTGGAACATCTGGCTTTTTTTTTTCCCAAAAATGAATAAGGATTTAACGGCATGTTGTACACTACTTGGCATTTTTCCCATATTCCTCGGAGTAAACATTTTTACATTTCACACTACTTTTGAATGTCTGATCTTTTGTAAGTTGCTTCCTGACAGAGAGTATCATTTATAAGATATTTTATCTCTACCTCTAAATCTCACTCTTTAAAAAACACAATGTGTTATGATAGACCCATATCCTCTCGCCTGTTCCAACTGGAAGGACAGAAAGCCTCTTTGTACAAGTCTTGCCAATGAAATAATAATGCCTGTTCATTGCTGAAATAAGAATAAATTATTGAAATGCTAATTTAATTGTTAGAAATGTCAATACAATTTACACTAAAAATAATATTTCCAATATTGAGATACAATCCCAACCAGCAAGTGCTTTTGTCACTGTACTAATTGATTATCTTTGACTATTGCTGCTTATTTGCTCAATATTCCAGTTGATTTGCATACATGTAACTAGTCAATACTTTCATTTATTTTCATTAGCTCCAAAGGAAATCTCTAATAAGCAACCCAAAGTACCTCCAATGGTACCAAGGTTTGACAATCACGAGTCAAGTCGTTGTAATGTGTAGAGATCAGCAGTAGTGGGGTGGTAGTTACGAAGGAATTTTGGTTCTTCAAGACCCTGTTCCTCTCACGCACTCTGATTAACAACAAACACATCTCACATGCGTACAGGTCAAACAAAATTAGGCTACGGATCATCAACAATGAAACAGTTTAAAATACACCTCTTCTTTATTTCATGAGTAAAAACAGCATACAGAAATAGATGTGATATAATGAAACGAAGCATGATATAAATAAATATCAAAAATCTGATGAGATGTTTTTCTTCCTTCCTAGTTTGAAAACATTTAATGCTGACAACAGCAAAGCAATGAAATCAGATGAAAACACAGATGAAAACACATGATCATCAGCTTGGGATGATAAATGCTCTCTCCTCTACATATGTTATGTTATTTTCAACAGCATAATATGAGCATAATAAAGCAATTAAATCTAATAAGAGCACATTCTTGGAAACCTATGAGAATGTAAACTAAAGCCTGATTCAGGGTCCGGACTACTTGCAGTTTGTTAGTTTATTAAAGAACTATTTGAGTTTGTGAAGCTCAGAATGAGAGAAAAAAACACTGATATGTTTAACCCTACATTAAGGGTAGGAAACCATTTCAGACAGCAGTTCAGCTTATATAAATGACAGAGTCCTGTCAGTGGTGCAGTGCAGCTGTTCACCCCTGAATGACCTCATACGTACTATGTGTTAGAGTACAAAATCGAAATAAAGAGTTTACTTGTGTATGCTCTCAGGCTTATTTACATATTTACACCTATATACACGTTTTGTTTTTTTAATTGTGGTCTTTCTCAATGTTTAGTTTTTCACCTGTGGTCCAAAATGATATTTGCTGCTTACAATAAGATTTGAGCTGCAATAATCATTTAAATGTAGTGAAAATATATGTATTAAAAAAAAACTCCTTTCCAACTAAACCTGGGTCCACACTGGACTCTATCTAAAAACGAAAATATTCCAAGAGCTTCTTAATTCTGCTTTGGGAAGTTGTTGAAATGATCATTTAAACATCTCAATTATACAAGAGTTGAAAAGAAAATGTGTCTTTTATCAGGGCTTAAATCAATAACTGGAACAACAAAATCCTCTTCACTGGGAGCCAATCTAAAATTTGGAGGCCTCTGAAGAAAAAATCTGCCTGACATGTAGCAACATTTTTGAACTTATTGAAAGACTTTCACAGGTTACCAGAGGAGCTCTGAAACATGCTGAACCATTGTTTATAACATGGTTCAGACTGAAATGATTTTGTTGATCTGGCATCTGCATAGATAATTGCATGGCACAAATCGATAAGAAACCCCTGGGATTGTGACAGATTTCCAATAGCTAGGCATGTAACAAATATTGACCTTTAAAGATGTAAAAATAAGAGCTCAGGTTTAAACCCTGCAACTGGATTAACTTACTTCAGTGCATACAATGAGTTTCTGTTAATACATTCAACAGATTAAAGAACAAATCAAATCCTTAATTCACCTGTAATTTCTATGCAAGCCAAAGAGAAGAACAAGCCTTTTTTGTATAAGCCAGGTGTTAACAACATATTCTTACCTCTAATTTACGTGGCACTTGGTTGCAAAGATTATTTATGTTTTTTTGTGCTGTCCGGTTTACTCCAAAGCTAATGGGGGAAACGGGTCACAAAAGTTGTTTCCAAAGCAGCAGAACCACCATATTTTGATCGGTAACAACTAGTGATTTTACATCTTTTGTTTCATTGATGTTTGGTTTTAACTAACTTTCCTCCTGCATTAAACTCATGAGCTTTCCAGCACTGTTGCTGACTGGACATTAAGCTTTGAGCAGCATAACATCAAGCTGTCAAGAGATTGTCTTATTATGCGGTGAGAAGCAATTCCTTCTTCTTCCAGCGGGTGGAGGCTAAGTTTTCTGAAGAGCATCTCCATCGTGGCGTTTAAGCTGCCATCAGATATTGAGGTCTTCTTTCACGAGGTAGAATGATCATTCCTCATCTCTGCATCTTTTTATCTGATAAAACAAAGGAAAATGTTGATTAGCCATTAAAATCCTATAACAACACTGAAGTCTTGTTATAGATGTGTCTTAATATTTTGGATTGGGACAGATTCTGAAGCACTGTCTTCTGTCTAAAAGTTTTTAATCTGCAGAACAGATAAAAGCATTTATGGGCCTGTTAATAAGTGATGAGTATTAAATAAAAATATACAAATCATAATCTGTGCTTTCTCAAATTATTTAACTTGAGAAAGTTGACTTCTCTGTTTGAAGAACCATTAAATGGTTTCCAAGATATTCTCACTCCCATTATTTTGTCATTTCACAAAAAAACAAATATATATCTCAGCACCTCTAATTAACCTGACATAGACAGTTGGAGAAGATGGTTACTTGTCTTTTTATCCAACATTTAAATGTCTTTTCTGTCATAATTAATACACATAACTTAGCTTGTGTTATTTACATTCAATCTCAGTGAACTGACAATCAATTCAACACACATACACCATTTAATCAAGGATAAAGAAACAGCAGAGACATAGATTTTTATGACCGTACCTCCTGAAGCCAGATGATGAACAGGAGGAAAAATGTTTCCCACCAAACAGGGAGTTTCTTTCTTCCTGGGATGATACTTTTGTTTCTGTGGTAACAGGCTTATACTCAGGTATGTGAGCAACTTGAAATCTTTAAATCAAAAACAGAAAGTTATCCAAAGTTAGTGTCAGAAAGACAAATTAAAAACACCTGAAACTGTAAGGCAAAGCTTTTAAACAAAGTGCTGCTCAGGCCAGTTTTCAGGGTTCCGATGTGAAGCTAAAGAAGACTTCAAAACAAAAACAGCTAAAGAAAAAATAACAAAACAAACATAGTAATGCCTTTAGCCGGACTCACCTCCCAACAGACAACACCTCTCCTTCTTTCTTCTCCCTCCCTTCACTGCTGTCCACTTTGCTCTGAACAGGTTTTGGCACGTCAGCGGCTTGGGGATGATGATGAGTGTCTACGCAACCCGCCCCCAGTAGAGGGTTCTTCTGCTGGTCAACAGGTGTGTCCAAGGAGGGCAGAATGAGGCCCTGTGGGGGCTTCAGAGGGTCTTTGAGAGAATCCAGGGGAGGAATGAGAACAGGAGGCCACTTTCTCTGAGCGCAGCGGGAGCAACGGTAGCCGTGTTTGGGAGCGAGACCGGAGAGACCCGAGATGGTGTGGAGGTGGGACTGATGGGGGCAAGACTTGGGGATGGAGCGGAAGGTGGACAAGGGAGACAGCATCGGGAACCTGTTGGTGAGAAAGGGAGGGAAAATAGTCAGAAAGTTTATTTGACCCGAGGTCTAACCACAAGATGACTACATCAACTATTGCATTTCTCTGTTCCAGCACAGAGGCTAGATGTCTTAGATATGCTTGTATACCAACAAGGCAAAGAATAAAAGATGAAGTTTAATTATTTCAGGAAATAGCTCTATACATTGGCCGTGTAGACATAGATCAATTTTGATGTTAAAGAAGTGAAGGTCTCTTTATTGTGATATGGTGCTGATGAAGGTAAAGAGCAAAATAGAGACAGACAATTGTTTGTCTCTGTTATTGCTGCAAGTCCCTTCCATGGACCCTGCGTCTATCTAAAAGGTTTCCAGAATTGTGTGTGGACATTGTGTGTGTGTCAGAATGTTCCTGAAACTGTAGCTATGTGTTTCTGTCGCCCTGTTGAGCAACAGCACAGCAGCTCCAATCACTGGTCTACACACCACAAAAGAAAATACATAAAAATCAGAGCTGAACAAATTGGGGGTGGGGAGCAGGTCAAAATCCAAATATGAGCAAAATAAAGTCCTTTATTTGGTTAGAAGACTTTCACAGGCTACAGTTTTCTAACAGTTTTTAAAATGATTTCTTTCTATTAATTCTGTTATCTGGACAGCACAATGGTGCAACTTCGATTAGTTTAAATGCACTGTTCAGTTTACTAAACTCTTCAACATAACATGTTCTGTGCACAAAAGAAGGAGTTCATGCTATCTATAGTAGTGTTTAAATTAAAAGCCAACAGTCTGTAGCTCCTTTAAATCATGACATAGTTAAACTTACTGTCTGTGAATGCATCTGTAACATTTAAAAATAAATGCAGAATTTGAACAGTAAACTAGAAAGGCTCACAGCAAAATTATATCCTAAGAATGGTTCTGTCCTCAAAAGAGTCCACTGAATAGTTCCTTTAGTGCTTTAATACAAACAGATTTTATATCAAAATCTTTTTCAATATTATTCCAGGCTGAAATGTTAACATGTTTAAAAAATAAACAAGATCTCATGTAAGAAAACAGAGAGGCACAGCGCTGTAAACTGACATTTTGAATTTAATTCTGACTACTTGAGTGATTCTTAAAGCGGCAGCAACCAAAGTTCCAGCCACAACCACCCTTGGTCGTGTAAAAGTTGAGACTTTGATAAGTTATGTGACCACCAGTGAGGTCAGTGGCCAAATGACTGTCAAAGTCTCATAATTGGACAGTTTTTATGACTAAGACGTTCACTGCAGATCTGTGGGAATGAGTCACTGCCAAGCGTCAAACTGCATCGACTCAGAAAAATGCAGCCAAAGCAGTCTGAAGGGTCAATACATCTTTTGAAACTCTGTGTTTTTGTTTAAAAGGTCTAAGGAAACTGAATTACAAATATCATTTGTATATGTAATTAGAGAGAAAATTACAGGAGTGAAGTTGACTTCTTGTTAAATCTGACCTCAAGGAGCACAACTTAATGAGAGCATGCAAGGATTTGTGAATGCGTGTGTCTGTGTGTGTATGACACGTACTTGATTGATGAGCCTTTGTTCATCTGTTTGCTCTCATACTCCAGCAGCAGTTCCTCCAGTGCAGCAGCATTTTCTGAAACAGAGACAATATCAGCTTATTGAAACACCGCCTCTTAATGTTCTTGGTTGCATAAGTTATTGCACTCTGCTTGACGTAAAATTAGTTCATGTTAAAAAAGTAAATGATAAAATGAGTTACAAGTACAGAGTGCTTTGAAGAAGTATTTG